ACGCAGCCAGCAACAAAAAGCATCGGGAAACATTTTTGTGTCGAGCCTTTGAGGAATCGTCCACATGTTTTGTCGCAATTAAGGATGACAGGATTTTGTCTTCCAATTCCATGAGCAGCAGTGCTACTGCGGTCACCACCCCCCACCCCATCTTCCCCCTCCCACCGGCGGTGCCGTTTTGACGGACGCGGCGCGGTGAACACGGGTTCCCCAGCGTCGGCGCACGGAAGGGGGCCATTGAAATATTCAGGAAGGTCGTTTGTTCGCGCGATGTCGGGCGAACGCCGCCGCCGCCGCTCGCGCCCGCACATTTCCCTTCTGGAGGAGGTGCGCCGCGCGATCACCAAGCGCACAAACCGATCAGGAACGCCGCTCCCCACCCAACCGCGCTGCTTCACGAATTGAGGGCACGGTTTCAATGAGCGTGCACGTGCGGTTTCATTCCACCGCGAGGATTCGGGATAATTACTATGGAGCGTTATTGTGTCGGCAATGGACGAAGGCCTCTCCCCCCCCTCTCCCCCCTTAGGTGATTTCAGTCATGGGCAATGGTGGAGCCAAGATTTTCAGGAAGGGGGGGCAACCCCTCCAGCAATGAAAAATTATAGGAGTTGTTAGTAAGTAAGGACTTGTCCCTTGCTTTTTATTGGACGCGAGCGCGGCAATGGCGCAGCCATCGATCGAGGGTCGAATTCGAACCGGGTGGTGTGATCGGCATCGCGCTCGCTGAAGGTGTTTGCCTTCAGGGTAGTCGTGTACTGTCTACGCAACTGCGCACAATTCTGAGTAACTTATAACTGCTTTGCCATTACTTATTGCCAATTATGGACTCAAACTATTGTCCTATCATCTCAGAGTCCCTGGCACGTAATAATATGCTACACAGTGGCAGTGGGGGTCGCAAAATTCCAATTTATTACTAATAAACCCCAATGATACAATAGCATTTAGGGATCTCGATCGGATCATTGGGGAGGGCACGTGCCCCCCCCCCCCCCACCCAACTGGCTCCGCCAGTGGTCACGGGGATTTCATTTCGCCGTACTTCATCACGTCGGTCAGCACGGCTTCGTGAAGGGGAGAAGGAAGGACCACTTCTGATGTCACTCGCCACCAATGCTAGTTGCGATGAGTGTTGCAATGAGTGTTTCGATGAGTGTTGCAATGAGTGTTGCGATGAGTGTTGCGATTCAAGTTGTGGCCAGGGATCAAACTCGGGTCGCCCAGTTCATAGCACTGTGCACTAACCACGCTGCCACCGCTCCACCACATGTACAGTGCTACCTTTAACCTGCTTAAGATAATGTTATATTTAAAACCATAATAATGACTGCTCTAGGGTCTTTTAAAACGTTAATATGCTCTAATTTTAAATGAAACAGTTACACGTGCACCATATTTGCAATCGTTTTTCATGAGCAGACACTTCGACGACGAGGATTCATAAACCACATTATCAAGGGAGATCTAATGTGATATTGCAGCTATTTATAATGTGAACATTACCACAGGTATCTCAAAAGTATAGCGGTATTAACCCTATAAATACAGCTGTATATTTAGAGCTCTATTCATGCCCATAAGACAGGCAGATTACGATACCAGCATTTTAATATTCACAAAGACAGCAACTGAAATAAATTTTACCTCTTAAATAAAGGAACTGCAATTTTTTTGTTAATACCTGTGTTCTTGTGCGATTTTGTTCCTGGCAAATTAACGATGCCAACAAATAATGATAGCAATCATGGTGACAGCACTGTTTGTTTGACCGTATCAGATCCTATTCCACTACCATGTTTTTTTTTTATCTCGCAAATAAAAATAAAAATCTACAGCCCTGTTCCTGCAAAAAGTAAAATGCATTCATTTCGGGAAGCTCAACAAAAAAGAAATCACTGGCAATTAGCAGTTAGATGTAATTTAGAGGCTGGCTGGCAGTGTCATTGAAGAGGCCCAACCACTGGCAAACGCTGGTACCACGGGCTTTAAAAATATATTCCAGCAGTCCATTCACTTTCCATCGCACAAGTCACAGAGGGCCAAGCGCCGTGCATATGCACGGCCGTGCGTGCGTGCAAATGGCTGTGCGTGCGTGCGTGCAAATGGCTGTGCGTGCATGCGACCGCGGCTCCACACACTTCTCAAACTAAGAGCGCTCCAATTCCGGAGCAAGCCGGAGTAGCCCGCTTCGTTCCCGTGTGCCCGCTGCCGGTTGGCATCGCAGTGTCTCTTTCAGTTTCCATTTTGACCACATTCGTTCTTAACACAATCCCATTTCCCGATGCAAAACCGTATATATATATATATTTTGCCGACTGCTCAAAAAATGAATTTTTGAAAGAAAAAAAAAATGTAATTCATTTAAAGGAAGTCGACGATAACTTGCCTTGTGTGCGTAGGGCCACTTGTAGTTTTATACGTAGATATTAACCTTTGTGATGATATTTTCTATTTGGAATCACAGGTGAACGCCCCCTTTTAATGTAGAAGCCTTGGTTAGAGTAGCGTTAAAAAAATAAAAAAGAACCCGCTCACAGAACGTTCCATAATGAGTGACAAACGTCCTCGAGCGCGCTCGTTACACGACGCTGCTCAGGACGGGGTACGCTTGCCGCTTCAGCGCGAGGAGGGGGGTGTGGGCTGGGTGGCGGTCGGAAACCCCGCGACGCAACGCCACAATAAACACACGCGCGCAAGTCGCGCAATACGTGCACGGCAGATGGGAAATAAATTATCGTCTACGACCGTGCCCGCGCATCTGCCACAGGCAGCGTTGCGAGCGTCGCGAGCGCTATGAAGTCATCACGGCGCCGCCGCCGCAGCCGCCGCTCACCTGACGTGTAAACGCGCTTCTTGCTGCGCATCTCTCGGGGCATTTTAAATCAGCTCTCCGATTCGGCCGCTACGTCTCCACTGTTCAGCCACGCGGCTTCTCCATCGGGCGTTCGGGGTGTGGGGGGTGAGAGGCAACAAAAGCAGGCTGAGCGCCATGCCGATTTCTCACCGCGCAAACTGATGAATCGTCCATAACCCAGGGTGGCGATCGGCGCCATGGCAAATGCCGGACGAATGGGGCAGCAGCCCCAGGCACCCGGGCGGTGGTGGCTATGTTGCACGTGTCTGCGTGCAACTCAGCGCTGCGAACGCAGCGAGGGCTCGCAGTGAAAAGCCTTTTCAGCGGGCATCGAAGTGCCAAACTCTGGCTTGCCAGGTGATGGCGGCACAACAAAGTGGACTAATTCCCATCCGTTTCAATCTGTACGGGGGAGAGAGTGTCGCCCCCTCGTGTGCCTAGGTTTTCTCCGGTCGCTCCGGTTTCCTCCCACGTCCATAATAAACACTCATCAATAATTGGCGAAAAACATCGGAAAGTAAAAACCCAATGCAGCAATCAGGAAATGAAGCAAGCAGTGGTGGCTCAAATGTTTGGTGGGGCAGGGACCGGCGCTGGGGTTCAGAAGGCTCACAAAGATGGCACCTTGACCCGACCATCGCAATGTCCAAGTACAGCGCTTCCATTTAAAAATATAGAAATGTTCTTTACTTTGCTGTGGTGAATGGTAGCGCCTCCAGTGGCTGCAGAGGTTTATTTAAATCGTCCATAATACAGGTTTTGTTGGGTTATATCGCGTAAATATGTGTCGTTAAACCAGCCACCACCCGACACAGCCAATTACAACATTTACAAATCGAATATCATGTTTCGCCAGTAACGTCGTACTCAAGATTGTAAATATTGCGGCTTTGCTCTCCAGCACACCGGTGTGCTGTACTAGTAAGAAATTGGCGTGTTACATTTACGTGACAAACCTTACTAATAGGCTGTGTCCGGTGGTGGCGGGTTTAATGACACATTTATATATTTACGCGATCTAACCCAAAAAACCCTGTATTATGGATGATATTGGTCGCCAAAGCCTACGTGTTATTTGAATCAATTTGCATACAACATCCACAAGGGGATACACATCGACTCTCGAACGCTTAAAGGTTTTTTGTTACGAGGTCACACTACCCTTGCTGCACTCGGGGTCTGTACATTACACCACCTTTGTACAGCCTCTGTCAATCCACTGCTGGATGACTGCCTCCCCACGCCTTTGTGGGCTGCTCAGAAATATTTGACGGTACTTCCCCACTCTGGCCAGTGCGGGTCGGCAATGCTGAAGTCTTCAACCTTTTAAAGTATTTGTTTTAATAAAATGTAGCGCTTTAAGGAAAAGCAAAGGAACAAAAAACAATGACGAAAAATGTAGCATTCTCTGTTACATTTAGGCGATGGTAAAAAGCAAGGGGGGATCAATGTCCAGCCGAAGCTGTCCGGAGCTGAGCGCCATCAAATATTTCCCCTCTCCCGCAACCCGGTTGGCTGGGGGAAGGTAGGCCTGGAGAATACTGCATGATATGGTAAGTCATGGCTAAAAAAAAAAAAAACACGAATGATATTCATTGAGAAAACAAGACTGCCATATCTTGGCGAGATGACACAGCAGCAGGTATTGATATGAACGTATATATATATAAGAAGAGATGTGCAATTGTGCAACATAAACCTTGCCCTACAGTTTTCCTCCCCGGTAATTGAGGCAATATCGCGCACAAATGAGATTGTCACTGGACTGGCGCTCCCCGGGAGAGGTTTGGGAATTTATCTGCATTTATGTACCGGGGCCCCTTCTAAAACGATCCGAGCAGAAAATTAAAAAAAACACCTTTCATTAAGAACTGCATTGTTTTTTGTTCTCTAATCACCCTTCATAAAGCTCACAAATATTTAAATTGCTATTTTTTTTTTCCTTGAACCCGCCCTCGCTGGAGGTCTCGTCTTCTGCCGCGTGAGTCGGTGGCTTTGAGCCGTTGTGTGTGCGCGTTAGGCTGGCGTTCGTTTTTTGGGGAGGGCGTGGAGGGGGGGGGGGGGGCACGTTACGCTGCGACGCAGCACAGAGACGCGACCTCCATCGGATTTGGCTGTCGGCGCCACCGACCCCAACTCGTACCTCCAGCCGCCCGGCCACCGGCTGCCCATTCGTCTCCACCGCCCGGCTCCTGCTCATGGCAGCGCGCAGATCTTGCGCCCAGTCCCGCATTTCCTGGTAGTTCTCCTCAAACGCCACGAGGCTGTGGTTGGCAGCGAAGAGAAGGAGCGGGGGCGAGGGGATCAGGAGTTGAGCCGAGATGCAGGAGAGAGAGAGAGCGGAGTTTTCTCTCGGCTCAGTGGGATGGAGAGTAACCACCTCGATAATTGAAGACGCACAACGCAATACAACAAAGCTAATTAGCAAGCTCTTGCATTCAGTATATTTCACGCGCTCTCAAGACACTCCATCGCAGCCTTTTAATCTTGCCGGGCTGTTTGGATTTAGATCAGGAGAATGTTCCAACCTTTTGAGGCATTTCCACACACACACACAGTCGCTCTGCACCACGCCGAAAAATGAGTCGCAAAAAGCAATAAAATACAGGGGGAACACTAATGGGGAATTCACTCACAGCGGAGCGGATTCGGTGAGCAGACTTTAACCGCGCCGCGCAGTCTTGCTTTCATAACTAAAAATAATTTTGGCACTCGAAATTAAACATGTGTACGGCGTATAAAACACACTTTAATTAACTGCTGAAAACCCTTAATCTCGGCAGATGAGAAGCAAAAGCAATCGGAGAGTTTGTGTGCGGTTTTTTTCTCTTCTTCTCATAATGATTTACCCAATGGTCTGAAGAAATTAAGCGTGCTTTGGCCGGAGGTTACATTGCCTTGTTAGTGACGATTGCACGCGTCCTGATTGCAGTGGGAATCTCACCTCTCATGCTCCATTCCTGGGGCCTCATTACGCTGGGCGGCGTCACTTTGTTGTGTCGCGGGGCTCGCAGACTCATTTCGCCGCTCGGTTATTAGCTGCTCATCCAAGCCGCATGTCCCACTGACCATGGCCTGAAACAAAAATATAAAATACACTTTTACAATCCACTCGCAGGCAGAATTTTTTGTGTGCGTTTTCTTTTTTACTACACACAACAACGATTCGTTTGGGATTTTGTGGAATAAAAAGCGAGAGGCCAATTCGAGTGCTTTCTTTGCTCGGGTGCTCGAGGGCTTTTAAGCAGAGCATTGGTTGTCAGGGGAAGGGGTCAGAGGGCACCCAATTGAAGATGGAGATGGCTGGCCAGGATTGTAAAGAATGGAAACCCCCCTCAGCAGATTTAACGCGAAACTTCGGCGAGGGGCCAGGAATCCCTGGGGCCGCAGTCTGGTCGGCGCTGGCAGACAAACACGACGAACGCTCTGGAGTTGTCAGGATGAGAGATCACCGCCGCAAACGTTTGAGAGCCCGCTAGGACGACATTCATTTTAACGGTCGAGAGAAAAAGTGGCGCCTGCCGTCTCGCGTCGCGGCTACGACAAAATGAGACCGGAGGAAAAAAAAAAATAACCCAGCACTTGGCGTGGATCAACATACCCATCCCGATTCATTAAGATGGGCTGCTCTGCAGCGCCGCGTACACACAGCTCATTTACCGCTCTCTCACGCATGGTAAATTAAGTACACACAGTTCAATAGCCGTGTGATTTATGCACACCTTCATTTCGGAAAATTGGCTTGCTTTGCAATATTGAAAGTGGGGGGTTAACAAAGCCGATTCCATAAATCCACTTTCGATTTTTTTTTTTTTAGAAAACTCCCGCAAATTTTCTTTCCCCCCCCCCCCCCCCCCCCCCCCCATCGCAGAGCTCAGGTGAGGATTTCGGCGATTGCACGCAAATTATGCTCCAGGAAGATCGCGCGCTTCCCTTTGTGCGACGGACTTCCACGCGGGCGGTGTGTCGCCCACTCAGATTCCTATCGACTCCCCTCCCCCCCCCGCGGAAGTATCCACGTTGTGTTTTTGTGGCTTCCGCCCAGGCGACGGACCGTTTCCACCATTGTGAACCACGACACCGACACTTGAAAAGCCCCCCCACCACCCCCCGCTGCTTCCCGCACCGGTGCTCGGTCAATGGCCGATGCTTCCACGGTAATGTCCCCGAACCCCATGCCAAAACTACGTTCACGCCCTGCCCCCTGCTGCTGCGTGCTGGAAACGGCAGCAGCAGCAACAGAAGCAGCAGCAAGCATTGTAACGAACAGCAGCAGTCGCAGCAGCAATGATTTAGCCAAATCGCTGCTAAGCAAGGTACAAGACACAGCACGAGATAGCTACTGAATATTTAAAAGATTGAACACGGGCGCAATAACATAAAATGGGAGTCATCGCACAGGACAGCCCGTGTTTACACGGGCACGCATTTCAACGAAACGGTGACGTTTCTAAGGTGTGCACCGCGACCAGAAGCGCAGGGCGACGCGGTGAAGGTGTGAACGTGATGTATAATTTAGCTCCTGGAGTTCTTCATTTGGAACAAAAAAGAATAGACACACGTTTATATAAATATATAAAAACCTCCGCAAGTGCCAGCGGACTCAAGCAATCTTCTTTCAGGCTCGCAGGAGCCTTGTGGCTATGGTCCAAGATCAAATGGACTGTGAAATGAGCTCAGCCTTACACGAGTCGAGAGAAAAAAAAATCATCATTTCGCGTAATTACGCCACACACTGTATTAAAATTATCAGCGTACAGTGGGGGTGTTAGCCGCCCGCGCTAAAACATTTTCAAGGAGGCGGACGGGGTGGGGGGGGGGGGGGAAATCTTAAATAAATTTTTGTTTAGGTGTAAATTTACGAGATCAAAGTTTTATACAGCTGTGGAACTCCCCGATCATATCTAATTTAGTTTGCTTTTTTTTAAAATCTAGGAGGCATGAATAATCCAGATGTTCTTTCATTAACGATAAAATTCCACAAAACTCTTCGATCGGCGTGGGACGTGGCGGTTTTTGAAAGCGAGCGAGCGAGCGTCGACCGCGGCGCTGCTCGCCGTCACATCAAACAGCGGCGGGCGTTCGTCGCGCCGAGAGAGACGCCAACATCCAGTCCGGAAGTTGTGTCCACGTCCTCCTGGCCGTGAGATTTAAAACATTTGCGCAATTTATTTGATTCTACCAGGTAAAGCCCAAGCGACCTGGCTATCACAAATGACCGCAGCTCATCATCGCGTGGAAATGTATAGCAGTCAAAAACTCCGACGTTGATTCTAAATGTGTGACGGAAAAACTGCAGGACCCGGACAAAAATCCACGCGATCACAGGGAGAACATGCAAACTCCAAATATACAGCAGGCGTCAGGGTCAGGATTGAACCCACGACTTACTGTATACCAGGCGAGGTAGTTAACACCTCGCCACTGTGGCACTGCGGCGCAACATACATCGCCAGCCACGACAGCTGGCCAATTTCCTCAGCGGTAGAGCGAGTCGGCTTGCAATCGGAAGGTTTGCGAGTTCAAATCCTGGTTAGGGAGGTTGACTCAGCCCATCATTCCTCCCGAGCGGTTAAAACGAGTACCACACTTTGTGGGGGAAATCAACAGCGATTGTCATTCCCTGTCATAGAAATGTGGAATGTCCGCTAGTGGCTCAGCAGGGTTGTAAAGAGGGGATGAACACCACTGCGTGGATGCTCACTTGAGCAGGGGGGGGGGGGGGGGCGAGAATGTCTTGACGAGTGACGTTGAACAGCTTTGCAGTTAACTTGTAACTCTGGGACGGGTCGATGCGTTAGAGTCCACATACCGCGTGGCGGCGGGAATCCGTGACGAGAATCGATAAGGGGAACGGAATCTCCCTGGATGCACCAAGAGACCATCGATTTGTCATCGGCGCCTTCTGCATTCGAATCCGAGAACGTCGCGATGGCGGTCGCACGAACGAGCCAACGCAGACATCGAGCACCACCGACTTAGTCTGAGATGAACACTCTGCACTGCAGTGGCTGCCGGAACGTGGCGGCGCGGCGGCTTGCACGCCGCACGACGACCTCGGTGGTCCGAGTTCGACGCCCGCTCGCGACCAACGCCAGAGGCAAACGATGTCCGAACCCGTCCTGGGCCTACCCTCTCCCCCCCCTTCACCGACAGCCCAGGAGGTGTGCCCGATGTTCGACCACCGTCGGGCACGTGGCTGGAACCAACGTTGGCACCAACGTTGGTTCCGATGTTCCACAAATTCCTGAGAGGCACTGCCCAGCGTGACGCAGTATGGTCAAACACACTCCCCAGGACGAAAACAAGGGGTGGGGTGGGGTGGGGTGGAGGAGGCCTCTATCCAGCGGTGGATTGATCAAGCACAGTCCTAATGTTGTCACTGTACTCTGCGAGGAATCGTAATTGACGATTACCTGTCCCACACGGAGCTGCTGCCGCGACGATGAGCAGCGACGGCGCTGCTTTGTCGTGCGTCGTCGGCGCTGCAAGCGCTCAAAGCCATCGCGGATCATTTCTCTTCTTTTTCTCTCTTGCTCGTGGCGAGCGCATTCATTCGCGTGCTCGGGATGCACTCTCCTTTGCGTGTCTGCGAGAGGATTTTTTTTTCCTCTCTCAAAGTTGCAATCAAATAACCAAGGGAGCTAACCCAGTTTTGGAAATATTTCATAAATGAAAGATTAAAAGAAGAATAAAATACCACACAGCACCCTTTTAGGACCAGTGACAAAACCACGTGGGCGCGAGTGTCCTCGGTGCGTTTTATGCGCAGAGCGGTAGTCGGTGTGATTAAACTGTAATCAAGTCAACGAGATTGCTCAAGGCGGCCTCGGCGCACGCTTTCATTAATTTTCACAATTTCCTCCCACAATAAGCCTTAATTAAAAATGTGCAAATTAAATTGTTTACAAATGGAATCCTGCAGAGATGTGTGTGTGTGTGCGCGCGCGCGTGGCGTCCCAGGAGCGCCGACAGTAAACAGGCCTCGAGACACGAGTGACAAGTGAATGACAAACACAACGTACGATATTCAACGCCGAGATTTTAAACACTCGCCTCCCGCAGAAGTTTGAGGCGGTGATTAGAACGCGTCTCCGTTGCTCATTTCGCGAGAGTTGCCCGCGCGCGCAACGTCCCACAGAGGAAGGGGACGCAGCAGAGCGAGGGCGCGGAGGAGGTAACGAGGGTGCCGAGTTTACGGGACCGAGTGCGGTTCTCTTGCGCGTAACACCGCGAGGGCAAGGGCGCGCCCCCGCCGTCTTGAGGTCCAAAGTAGATGGGGGCTGTGGCAGCTCTTCCCAGATGCTCGATGCATTTCCCACCTCGCGTCCACGTTTGACGCAGCACGACACGATGCAGATTTACATAGCGTCTCGATGTGACCGGGTATACAGGCGTCGTACAGAAATGAGTGGGGCGAGTCTCTCCTATACAAAGAGAGGGGCAGAGGGCCACAAGCTGAGTAAACAAGAAAGGTCTTGGAAAGGAGTACAAGGCTATGTGGGCCACAGAGGGGAATGAGCGACCTCACACCGAGCGAAGGTCGACTGGGAGCTTCCACAGAAGGCCTTGGTTGCCGGAGCAGAGCGTCTGGAAGGGAGTCGAGCGAGATGAGACGGGAGAGGTAGGAGAGCGCACGGAGGGGAGACGAGTGGGGAGAGGCATGGGGGACCGCGAGGACAGAGAGCATCGCCGTCGCACCCACACAGAAAGGGAAGAGGCGCCGTTGTGGGGAAGTTTGGGAGCGAGGCCTTGCGAGGCGATGGCGTTTTAAACGCGAGTCTGGAACCGGCCACTTCCCACGCACAATGATCCAGGATCGGATTGGGAGCCAGTGAAGGGACGGGAGTATTGATACGACGAGGAGTCTCTGTCAGTGGGAGTTTGGAGACGAGCGATTCTGGGAGTTGCGAGAGCGGAGTCGAGATGGAACGCGGAGATCTCGCGGGCGCTGAAGCGGTTGCGCTGATGGAGGCACGGAGCCCTGCACAAGTCGACGCGTGGGAGGAGAACGAGGGCTCAGGATCGACGAGAACTCGGGACAAACCAACCGTGAGAGGTGGTGACGGCGTGGGGAGAGAGGCCTTCACCCAACCAGTGGGTTGATCGTGGCTCGTCATATTTGGGCAGCAGGGTGGTGGCGCAGTGGGGATGCTCGTACCTCGCAGCAATAAGGCCTGGGTTCGATTCCCAACTATGGCGCATCTCCGTATCGTGTTTGTATGTTGTTATTGTGTTTATATGTTGTTATAGTGTTTGTATGTTGTTATCGTGTTAGTATGTCGTTATAATATTTGTATGTTGTTTCTCCGCCTGTTCTGCATGGGTTTGCTCCGGGTTCTCCGGTTTCCTCCTGAAGCTAAAACAACACACAGTGTGAGTGGTGTTGGCCAAACATACCACGGCTAGAATCTGACCTGCAAACGACACAAATGGGATTACACATAAAGCAGCAGAGGCAGCAGCAGCATCGCCCCTACAGAAAAAAGAACTTGGCAGGACCCTCCTGAAACAGGAGTAGCGAGACTCAGCGAGGCTCTCCTGGGTAATCAAGCGGAACAAAAACAATATTAATAAACGATGATCCATACGATCATGCCGAGGGCATCGTGCACGCGCTCACCGCCAGGGTGCGGAGGTCGCGGGGGTCGTCTTCGTCGTTGTCCGCGAGAGGCTGGGACCTCACGGTGGACAGCGAGCGCACAATCCATCTGTGCTGGCGCGTGATCTGCCTCTGCAGCTCACGCCACTGGCTCTCCACGAGGCCCAGGGTCTGCTCCAGGCCTGGCGAGACATCCACATGGGCGGTATCTATCAACGGTCGACAACGCTCGCCGCGCATTTGAACCCAAGGCGTACTCAGCATATGCAGGGTGCTTAAAAAAATGTTTTAACACTTATATGGGACTATCGTTTTTAATGGAAAAAGAACGGATAATACACTGTAACATGATAACGAATGTATGGTAATAGCTTAAAAAAGAAAACAGTCTCCACTTGTTCGCCATCATTGTCAACGCGTGCCTGGACTTTTCTCCAGGTGGTCTCCTGTGCCCGGAGGCACATTTCTTGTGGTGTTGTTACAAATTCTCAGAAGTATTGAAACATTTTTGAAGCACCCTCTATATTTTTTTAGTTTTTCAATCGCGGCTCGCCAAACGCAGGGCCCAAAAGGAATCATCATGCCGAGCGGCGTGCAACAAACAGCACTCTTGAAGGTGCGCAACAGGTGAAAAGAAAAAAAAACATTTAATTGAGCAAAACGATAAGAAAAGAGACGATGACCGAGCGAATTCAAAAGTGGAGCGGTGCGAGAGGGAAGAAGCAGAAGGATCGGCGTTGCGAGCTGCTGCAGTGTGGCGGTTGGACGGCGCGACGGAGAAATCAACGGAGCCGGCGTCCGGCGGACCGAGCCCTCGACGTGGGCAGAGGAATCAATGAGTGAAGTTCACGGGAACAGTAACCATGGCAATAGCGACAGGAATAGTTCTTAACCCCGGGGTGACATCGCTGCATGCGAGTTGTTCTCCGCAGCGAGTTTGTTATTCACCGTACGCGCTTGCGAAGCCGTCTTGCAAACGGTTTGTCATTCTAAATTTGTGTGCGTTGCCTCCGTGCAGCGCTCTGCTCAACTGGCGCTACGGGGCTTGCTGTTTCCTTGAGAGAGCGAGCTTCTTACCCCCCGCTCCCCACCCATCGGTACGAGCGAGCGCACCACAGTCGGCCTAACTGCAAGCCGCGTGTGGTGCAGAAAAGCATCGCACAGCCCCCGCTCCCCGCTACGAGAGGCGCACGTGGTTCCAGCCGCCCACGGCGCGCCACGCTGCTGCTGCTGCTGCTCCTGATTGGAGGGGAACTCAACTCGGCTTCTGGGAGATCAACAGCTCCATGAGGCTCCTCCCCTCCGTCACCACGGCGTCTTTGAGGGCACGGCGACTGTCCACGGCCACCTTGAAGTTCTGGAGAGGGACACAAACGGAGAGGTGAACTACAACAACAACGCCCTTCGTTTGCCCAGAGGAAAAGCCTCGCTCGCCGGATCTCAAGATTCTGTTGATCAGGAGGGTCCCTGCTACATTGGGATTGGTTGGCCAATTCCGCAGAGGAGCGTTCGGGCTCCGTGTTGGAGAAATCGCTCGGCACCACCGTCTCCTGGCCGCGCCTCGCAGCGCTCCCCGCCCACGGCACCTGGCCGGGAAGCCCTGGCGTTCGCACCTCTCCAGGCGCTGACCAGAACTCAAAATCCCGCTTCGCTTCCGAGACCAGACAAGATCTGGCACGTTCGGGGGCGATTTCATCGTGCGGCCAGCGAGCAGCGCGCGAGTCGCGTCACGGATGACCGCATCCGTGACGCGACTCGCGCAAATCACGACGCGAAGGTCGACATGCTCAAATCGGGGACGAGACTTGGTGAGAAGACAAACGGCGAGACGGCTTGCGTTTCTGAACGGCGTGCGACGTACGAGGTGCGTCTCTAAGTAAACGCCGAGGCTGCCAACGTCCGCGCCGGGTAGGGTCCAGTTCTCTGTCTTCTCCATGGCAACGGCGAGCCACGCGATGAGCTCGTCCAGCTTTCTCACAAACGCCTGTCAGGGAGGGAGGCACGGTGAGGGTGGTGAAGGCAGTGTGAGGAGGGGGAGAGGCACACGAAGGGTTGCACTGCCCTGCGACACAAAACTGAAAGCACAGAAAAAAAGTCATATTTTGAAGAATGCGAATCCATCATGGCACCGACCTCAGTCTTCTCCCATATGGCATCGTTGTCCACCTGCTGTTTAACATCGCACTGCGGTCGCCCGTCGTTGGCGAGGCGACGCCGCTCGTCCTCTGGCTCACACGAGGCCGCCCTGGCACTGCGCTCGCGTCCCCCGTCCGGGGAGCCGCAAGCAGTGGAACGTGACGCCCTTCCCGAGACGGGAAGGTCGCTGAGCGGGCCCGTGTCCAGCGTGTCCAGCGTGTCCAGCGCGCCCGCCGGGCCGGCGCGAGCGTCGGGTGTCGTGCGGCCGGGCCCGTCCGTGTCACTCGTCCCGTCGCGGGCCCCTCCGGTCTCCATCGACCCCCCAAGAGGCCAAAGCCTGCATCCTCGGGAGAGAGCTGCGGCAACTTGCTGCCCGCCGTCGTGGTCCGGAGGCTCTTTTTTTCCGTCACTTTGTCGACGAAATGGGGAGCGTCGGTATTCGCTCGGCAAGCCGACTTCTGCGACGGCTTCTTCTCGAGGAGCGTCGACAAGTCGTCCTAGCTTGAGGGCGATGATCTCCGCGTCCTTTAGCTGCGACGGCAGGGCCATGTACTCCTCCCAGCCGAACCAAGCGCCATCGCCAGACCCCTCACGCGACCCCGGCGATTTGTTGCCGGCGGCCGGTCGACCCGCGTGGTGGGAGCTGGCACGGGCTGCGTCGAGCGTCTCTCCGGTGCAGTTTTGGCGACGCCGAGCGGGCGCCGCGGGGACGCGTCTGGCCGCAGGGTCCTCGGGGCTCTCTTGCCGGCTCCCGAGTCGCTCGAGGAGTTCGCCGAACTCGTCGCGCGAACCGCCGCTGCCGCCGGCCGCTTCTCTCGGGGGGTACTCGGCGGCGTCCAGCGCATTGCCGTACTCCCAGTCCAGGAAGGCCTGCTCCCACGAGCCGGCCACCCTCCCGGAGGCCACCGCCGTTCGAGCCCTCGTACCATTTTCCTTCTTCTTCAATTTACTTTGCCAAGGTTCTGCCGAGCCGGCCGTGAAGGGTGACTCGGCAACGGCACGCTCGCCGGCCGATGCTCCGCAACCCCGCGCGTCGACCCCCTCCGGCTCCGACGGGAGCTCTTGGCGACACCGCGGCCTCGTCGACAAACGATCGCCGGGCAGGCCCGCCTCCGGGCGCCGGGGTTTCCTCCGGCGGAGATTCGAGCACAGCGAGCATCCCGTGCGTTGGTGACGAGGTCGGCGAGCCGCCGTAGGAGCGGGAGGGGACGAGGCACCCGAACGCGCCGCCGTCGTCACCTTCGGAGTCGTCGTCGTCAGACGCGGCTCCGGAGAAGGGGATCCTCCTCGAGATGCCTACGACGCCGTCGTGGTGCCGCGACGGCTTCGCGACGCTCGCGTCCCACCGCCACGCGCACTCCACCCCCGTCGGCGCCGAGCCGTCCACAACGGCCGGGACGAGCGGATTCCATCGCGGATCGAGCGCCATCCACGGGGAGAGGAAACCGTCGCCGGTGCCGTGGCATTCATCCAAGGACCACGGAACCGCGTCGGCAAGCTTCCTCGGCACGGGACCCACCCGGCGCTCGCGACAAAGTCTCGTCTTCGCCGCCGAGCTGCACGGCGGCCGCGATCGGCGGCGACGACTCCCGGCACGCCCCACGGGTCCGCACCGCTCCCCGGGTAGCCGGCGATCTCCTCGGTCAGCTCCATGTAGCTCCAGCGGCCAAACGTCTTGGGCGCGGATGCTCCGGCCGGCTCGGACGACGGCCGGCTCTCGCGAGGGCTCGAGAGGGCGGGCTCGACGGGAAACTCAGGTTCGCGCCGAGGACGCGGGCCGGGACTGACGCGTCGACTTGGTGCCGGAGGGGAGCCGGGCGCGTGCGGAGACGTCGCCGTCCACGGAGAGGTAGTAAGGGGAACTGGGGAGCGGGGACGTCTCCCGCTCTGTCCGCTTCGGCGAAGGGCTCCGCGGAGCTCTGCGGGGCAAACGCAAACGACGATCGGTTTGGATATCCTCGTGCTCGCCGACGGTCGCCGTTCCCGACTCCGTATCACGTCGCGGCCATCGCAATAATAAAGGGGCGCGCGTGTATCAGTCCACGTGTGGCCATCACAGCTTCATAAATAAAGAAGGGGAGAAAAGGGGGCTCGGGGACTTTGGACTGGAAGATGGAAGCATGCACGCGGGCCGCCCCGTTCCATGAGAAATCACAACGAACGCCGTCATTAAACTGGCGAGCGCCGAACACCAATCAGTGGTCTTCCGGTCTCCAGAGCAACAATTCAAACTGAAACTCCATACATGGAGCCAAGGGTTAGGGTGGAGGAGCCTGGATAGGGCCAGCACTCGGGCCGAGGTGGACGATTAGGGTTACGGCTAGAATTTGATTGGCAGGTGTGGTCAGGGTTATGGTAATAATTTCAGCACATGCACACCACATGCACCGCTCGCACAGCACTCACCGCCCCCGCAGCAGCGTCGATCTCCTGCAGGACGTCAACGACGTTGTCGCGGTGGGACGACGGCGACGACGGGGGGCAGGAGGATGCGGGCCCCAGCAACACGCGCTCCCGCAGCACGAGGGCGGCCACGCGGAGCGAGTACCACGCCTGCTCCGCCGCTCCCTCGCCGCCCCCCTTCGGTGCCCCCGCCCCGGCCTCCCGCAGGGCCTGCGCGGCCTCCACGCGGCAGTCGATCTCCTCAAACACGTCCTGCACACGGAGAGAGCAATGCGGGACGGGCGGCTTGGGGTGGGGCGCACTCGCCTAGCCGATGCCAGCTGCCTGACCTCTAACCCTCGACCGCTAGCCAACCAGCCACTCGTACCAACTCGACCTCGAACCCGAAACAAAACCAATGAGAAACTCATCTATGCCGACAGTGCATCCCGAATCGACTCGTGCAACGCTCTGCTCTACGGCTTCTCCAAATCCCTCGCCTCCCCACATTCCCTCAAGTCCACCACACGATCCAAAACTCCACCGCCAGGCTCCTCACACTCTGCAAACGAGACCACGTCGCCCCAATTCTCCAACCCCTGCACTGGCTTCCAATCCAATATCGTATCTAGTTCAACATCACACTCCATTAACATCTTCCTGCCTACCTCTCCCCTCTCTACTCTCCTCCACGCACTCTCCGCTCGAGCATCCAATGCTTTTTGCCGAAGCCCCCAGTCGGCTTTCTCTCATCTGCTGCCCCTGTAGTCTGTAACGTTCTTCGCCCCAGACATCCGTGCTGTTGACTCACTATCCCTTGTTCAAGTCCAGGCTCACATGTTTAGATTTTTCTCTGCCCATGACCGACTGACCCCCTGTCTTTGTATAAAAGAAAGATGCCCATTATCTCGAGTTGTTATCAAATGTAGACACCTAAAAAAATCTAAATTTTGTGATATTATAGAACTCGATTCTCCAAGCAGCCAATCGTAATGGCCCTCTAAGCGGCCCCCGAATCTACCCAGAATGCCCCTCCCTGCAGTGAATATCCAGCCGCCTCGTTCCCTCTTGACGATCAGTGCCAGGTGGAAAGGAGGAGCTTCCCGCGCTGAGGGAACGCGCGCGTCGAAGTCGCGCCTGTGCCCAGGTGCCTTACGCGGCAATGTTTACACTTTAAATTATTTTAATCGTCAATTAGCAACTTCTGTCAGTAAAGCGAGAACCCTTTCAAGTGAGCAAAAACGAATTCTAGGTTTGTTCTACGGCAATGAATAAATGTTTAATCTACCCAATTAGTTTAATCAGGTTTCCCTTTTTCAGAATGTAAAACGTGGAAAACATCAAACCTTGAAGATGAAAATGGATGCTGCTTGCCGCCGTTGCTGCTTAGCCGAGGCACCGCCAACTCCTTTGAGCAACAACTCACAAGCGGGCGTCTCTCCTGCAAACCGTTTCCCTTTCTTCAAATGTTCAATTCACTTCTCCTCCCGAGATGCCAGTGTCACTTACAGTGTGGCCGTGTCCAGGGCGTCGTGTGGCAAATGGAGTTGGAGAGTGCGGCCGTCTCTTAAAATAGAGCGGCGCGTAGCCGGGACACGAGAATAGCACCCGGGACTTTATTAAGTGCCCGGCGCCGTTTGCTAATGTGCGCCGAGCTGCAAAGCCGTAACCTGGATGACCCTAATCTGGAGCAATGTTGCATTTATAAATAAAGTAATCGAGTACGAGCCGTTGCAATAAAAGCCACGCGGATCGTGAAGACAACCGTCGAGCGCAATCAAACATTTCCGAATCGATACATTCGCAGTTATTGTATTTATTGGTGCGACGACGGCAGACGGACGAGCGCTGGCAGCAGACCCCCCCCCACCCATCGCGCACGTCGCAAAGAGCCCCCACCCCCACCCCGAGGTGGGCACGGTGCACGCATTCACCAAGGTCGCCGGACGAGCCGCGCGCCTGCCCGGCCACACGGAGCCTGGAGCCTTACCGCAGCTGTTCCCCCACTCCATCCCACGCTGCCCGAAGCGCGCATCCGCAGCCCCGTCCCATCGGCTGAATCGGCACGCGCGTTCCGACTGTGGACTACGAGGGGGGGGGGGGGGGTTGCAGCGCCGACGTACCTTCTCGCTCGGACAGCCCAGAGACCGGAGCGGAGCGGGCCCGGCACCTCCAAGTTCACAGCGAACCGCGATGTCACGCCACTTCACGCCGGCCGGCCGGCCGCTCTCGCCCTCCCGACAAATGACGGCCGGGGTCTATTTTTGAGGCGTCGATGGCAGCGTCGCTTTGGCCGAGCCGGCCCCCTCCACCCCCGCTCGCCCCCCCAGCTGTCCAGAAACGCGATCCCACGAGCGGCCGGGCCACACCAGACACGTGCCACCCTCCCCCCTCCCCACCCACACCCCCTTACATTCCACGAGCCTCGCGGCGCGCCGTGGCGATGATGGCACGGGCCACTCGTGCGACAGTGGAGTGGTGTTTGTTGATGCTGCGCGGGGTAGGAGACGCACGGCTGGACAGGATGCATCGTGATGGGGGCTAAGGTTGAGTGTTGTTATCAGGACGGTGTTTAAAGTTAGATTTGCGGTTTGGGGTTCGGAGTTAGGGGTGAGGCTGCAAGTTATGGATAGGCTGAGGGGATTGTTTAGGGTTGGGGTTAATTATGACAGCTTGGAGGTTAGGGTCAAAGTTGAGTTTCGTGATTGAAATTTGGGTGAGGTTATATTGAGGTGAGAGTTGAGCTCAACGTTGTGTATGAGTGCCCATGTGTCATCAACACACATTCCGACACTTTCTAAGCGACAGTTAACATAATCGTGATTGATATTTAAACTCGTCCTGCCATCCATCTCTCCCCCCTCACCAACCTGCAATGACTAGAGCGGTGAAGTATAGGTCTAACAACCCCTTGTGAGAACACAACATGGGGAGGCCGATATCCAGCGTTGGAATGATTATAACAGCCATACCGTTGCAGGTCCCCCGTGACAGATCCAGCCAAGCAGCTCATTGGGCCCAGAAGCTGAAATCTAAAAATCTCAGGTGTAAACTATTATCATTTTTAATTTAAAAAATATTTTTTCATCACCTGCTTTGACGTTTCAGGCAATGACGTCCCCGTTAACGTTTTGCCGCTTTGATCAACAAGCTAAGTGGAAATTCCACTGAAGTTGTTTCTTGTCGGCCACTGGCCACATGGGCACTGGGGGCCGTGGGCTCAGCGGCAGCAACAGCTGCTGGCTGGAATTGGAAGTCCTGAACCACGAGACCCCCCCAGCTCCCTCCGCTCCCGGGGGGACGTTGGCGAGGGCTCGTCCACAACTTCCAGCGACTCTTGTCAACTAAGCACTTTGCACTTCCATTTTGTCACCGAACGTTTTACCTTACCTCACTTACGACGTCGAATATATTCGCGGCCGAAATATTAGTTCAGCAATCGCCTGTCACCATCGGGCCACCGTTTTGTTTTTTGTACGTCAATTTACGTTCAACAGACGTACAGAACGCACTGAAGCAGGGCACACAATCGCAAGCAGTTTAACACGTAGGCTTTCGCGACAAAAAAACATCCATAATACAGGTTTTTATTAGATTAGATCGCGTAAATATATAAAATATATGATTCCAAGCAACCAGCATAAAATAATCATAATTATAACGCTTGACTCTCTATATGGATGTTGAAATTATTTAGCACCGTACGTAACCAACCGTGCTAATCGTTTGGTATAAAGCCAGGAAAGCCTGAGTCTCAAGACTCGTGTTCATGAGGGTCCTGCCAACTGTTCTGCAGTCGGGGGACAATGCTGTGATTCCTAATTGAGTAAATTTTCAGGTAATTCTTCAGCATAGGGATATGTTTTTGGTCAATACCAGTTACCATATATATGGAGGAAACTAATTCAGAACAGGGGTAGAACACGCAAACTCCACACGTGTCTTTGACAGCTCCCGATTGACCTCGAGCTACGGAGGACAATTGTTTCAAAGCATGATGCGGGCAGTCCTCGACTTACAAACGCCAGACTTACGAACGCCCGTACTTACGAACCAGCTTCCATGAAGTCTAATTTAAAAAATAAACATGGAGTTTAAACACGAACTCGCAATTGCAAATTGAACCAGGGAACTATTTTGCTCAGAGGAGCGACCTCCATTACGTGTAAGGAGTCGGCCTCACGCTGGGAGTGAGTATTTGCGTGTGTGTGCGTGCACGGATGTGTGTGTGTGTGTGAGAAAGTAAGTGTGTGGGGAGCTGTAGTGTAGCGGTTAGCAAGCTGCGCTATGAAAGCGGCAACCCAAGTTCAGTTCTTGCTCGAGGCCAACACCAGTGTCTGGCGTGGTGTGTACACATCACCACTTGCGCCGTACCGGCCTCCCTAAGTGTTACTCGCCAACAGCACTTGCTACTCCAGTCTGCTTTGGCTATAGGGGAGTCTTTGTGTGCGCCGCGCTGTACTACCAACCTGGCGGCCGAAATTCAATTCCTGCTGACGATCAACACCAGTGACGATTGTCTGAATGGGATCTGGATCTCCTCTAGGTCGACTCAGCCTCAAACGAGTACCTGGTGCAGTGTGTAAATATTAGCACTGGGGAGACAAAGGCGCTGGCCACTCACCCCGTCGTGTGTCGTGCCGGCTTTCATCAGCGCTGCTTGCTAACAGCACTTGCCCCAACAGCCTGTTAAGATTATACGGGGGATCTTTGTCTGTGTGCACGCGTGGACCATTTGTGTGTGTGTGTGCAATTTTGTTGGCTCATTGTCCACCTCTAACTACAAGCTTACATCCAGGGCTCAAGGTAAGTGAAAATAAAACTCTTTTTACGTTACTTTTTTTTCTGTTTTGCTTACTACACAGAATTTGTTTTAGTGTTACATGCAAGTGTATATTTCTTCTTATTTATGAGTTTCACAATGCTTCCCTTTGTGTTGAACCGTAACACATTTCATAACACTGACCGTATGGACACTTAAATATTGGACATTGCTGTGTTCTGACTTACGAACCCGCCCAACTTACGAACAACTCTCGGGAACGAATTAGGCATTTAATTCAATTAGTATGATGATGGTTTCTTGTAGCAATTTACCCGACCAGCCCCGTGGTTCAGCGCCAAAGCAGAAGGGTTGCGAGCTCAAATTCTGGTTGGGGGCTGATTCAGCCCACCATCCCTTTGGGGTCGATAAAATACGTCCCAGCACAGGGAATGTGTAATTTCCACCACTGGCTCAGGGCTGTAAGCAGGAGTTGTTGAGCACTGTCTCAATGCTAATTTTGGCGGACAATCACTGATTTACAAACGGTGTCGATTTACAAATGATGGTGGTTGTTTTTGAGCGGGAATTGTAAGCGCAGCACGTCGGAATGTGCTTTTTTCGCTGCTTACACAGACAGGACGGAATTTACCAATAAGCTGAACATTAAACATTGCATAATTGTGAAGTTGTCTTTGGAGCTGTCGCGCTCCAGAGCTGAACAAGCCGTCCGGGTTGGCTTGGGCGGCAGTATTTTCAGCAACACCGTCACGATTATTATTTTATTCCTATGATATCCACTCCGCTTCTAAAGCCAAGAAAATCTTAACCGAGTCTCAAGACGATGGTGATGTTCCATGAGGGTCATGCCAAGTAGGTCTCAGTAGGGGGGTGGTGGTGGAAGGAGGGGCGATTTTTCACCATTGGGGATGTTTGGCCAAGAAAAGTTATACGGTCTGCATACCCATCATCCCCTCAGAAGTGCCTCCTTATTACAGAACAATTCAGACATTAGTGGTCACCCCGTGCCCTTATAAATCTCAAAGTTCACCTTACAAAGTCCCATCACGAGGGAGAAACATCAACAAATCGACAAACTTTTTTTTTGCCCGTATTGAAATGGCTGTACGCCGTACGGACCTTAAAACTAAATTGCCCTGTACAAAAATACGGGGTAAACCGTATGGGTTGGCAGCTATGGGTGTGTGGGGGTCATCTTTGGCTATGGCAGGAAACCCCAGAGGCAAACCCATGCTCAACAGTGATATGCAGTCGATTAATCATCGATTATCCGGCTGCTTCGGGGGGGAAGGGTGTGCCGGGTTTTCAAAAATGCCAAATAATCGCATCATTATTTTTGCACGTTCTTGTATAACAATGTTTTTAGGTGTTAAGTATATGTTTTTTTGTTAGTGATTTAAGTGTGTTTACTATGGTAAATTGGGCATGAACGTACAAATAGACAAAATTAACCTACTTTAAAGACTATTTACTGTACCGTACTTAGCCACTCCACTCTCGAAGATTCTGCACGATGTGGCCATTTATATGCACGTGCAGTATTTTCATTAAGTTGCATGTAGTGTATCGAGTACCGTAGACAGGATTGAACACTGACATCACGCGTAGCCACTTTTGTTACGTCACTTCAAGTGGTGTCGAGCGGAAGCAGTCGAACATCGTGCGTAATTATCGACGATCAACTCTAATTAGCATTATCACTGTGTAACAACAAAAATGTGTATTTTTTTGTTCCTGGGTAGTAAGTGTTATTTTCCTAATTTCTTATGCCTCAAAAGTACAGAAAATGGCTATTATTCCCCACAAACTTTGCTTTTGTGACCAGGACAGTGATATTTTGAAATTTTACATATTTTCAATGAGAAAACGTGTGCATTTGTGCCATTCCTTCACATAACGTTCTGGTCACAAAAGCAAAGTTTGTGGGGAATAATAGCCATTTTCTATACTTTTGAGGCATAAGCGATTAGAAAATAACACTTACTACCCAGGAACAAAAATCGTGTTACATATATTTCTGTAAAAGGGAAATTTTTGAATATGTGTCTGTTCAAAATGTTTAGCATACTTCCCGACGTGCAACAAACTTTAAATTTGCCATGTGGGTACTTTCCAGACTGTACACCATGCGCAAATGATGAAAATAGACTTCAGTATTTTTTTTTGGGGGGGGCGCAATAATGCATATATTTTGCAGGGCAAGTGAGCTGTGACGTCACATCTGTGATGTCACCCGCATGCGGAAGCGTCACGCAGTGTGCCTGCTGACGTCACACGCATCCCCTGCCAAACCCTCCGCGAGTAAAGTGCCATACAAATGTGTTGCAGGTCTTAGGCGTTCTTCGCGCAGCATTGCTGCTTTATTATTTCAGTCGTTTACTGCCGTACGCACCCTGAAAGTTGTGTGTCTGCAGCAAGCTGCAAGCGTGTGTATGTGTACCTATGGACGCGCGCGCATGTGTAGGGGGAGCGGTAGTGTAGTGGTTTGCGCGCTGCGCTACGAACCCGGCAACCCGAGTTCGATTCCCGCTCACGGCCACCACCGGTGACGATTATTTGAACCGTTCCTGGGCCTCCCCTAGGTCGACTCAGCCTCAAACGAGTAACTGGTGTGGTGTGTGAACAGCGCCACTGGGGAGACAAAGGCGGCCGGGCATAGAATCAAACCCAGACGCTGCTTGCCGTGAGGCACGAGAGGAGTCTAAACGCCGAGTTCGATTCCTCGCCACGGCTAACGCCTCCCACCCCCCCTCAACCCCAGCAAACTTCAGTGACCAGCGTGGTGAAGTATGGTCATAACCGAGCAACGTGTAGATGACAAATGTTTTACCGGGAATGCGGCCACAACCTCTGCAGCTCGTGGAAGCTAAGCTGGCTTGAGTCTGGATTATTGCCAGGATGGGGCCACACCCAACGTGTGTTAAACAGGTGCTATAGGCTGCGGTGACGGCGGGGGGGGGGATGAAACGTTGCTGCGTTCACCAATATCCTGCACCCCGCGGTGAAGTATGGTCATTTAACCCAGGGGTCCCCAACCCCCGGGCCGCGGACCAGGTACCGGTCCGTGGCCTGTTAGGAACCGGGCCGCACAGCAAGAGGTGAGAGCGATTTTATTATTGACCACTTCCATCCGCGCCTCTTTCCCGCACTGCGCACTTGTTTCAGTCACAGTTTTGGTAAGCCCACAAGCTCTAACCCCTAGCAGCCACAATTAGTAAAAAAACAAACGTCGCTGGAGAGCTTCTTTGAGAAAGGGGAAAGACCCAATGATGACCCCCCCCCTCCCCACCTGGTCCGTGAAAAAATTGTCTTCCACGAAACCGGTCCCTGGTGCCCAAATATGTTGGGGACCGCTGAATGTTTAACCCACACGCGGCACCGCGCTCCGTTTGTTTCGCCGGAAAGTAAGAGGCACGCCGGGTGCTAATCAAGATGTACAAGATGAAGACAACACTCATCCTGTATATATAAGCCTTAACAGACTCATCTTCTTGGTTCTTTCGGTAAAGTGACGTAGAAGAGAAATAATAAAAATAAAACATAATCAAATAATTATATTAAATCATGTTATTATATTATTTTATTATGTTGTTTTATTTTATTATATTACTACATTATTTTATTATCTTATTTTATTAGGTTTAATTTGTATTATTTTCCTTCTACGTGACTTTACCGAAAGAACCAAGAAGATGAATCCCTGCAGTCACGAAAGCTTTAAATCGGAACCTTAACAAACTGTTGGGGCAAGTGCTGTTAGCGCGCACCTATTAAGGCCCGACCGCCTTCGTCTCCCGAGTGACGATGTTTACACACCGCACACCAGGCGCTCATTTGAGGCTGAGTCGACCTAGGGGAGGCCCGGGACCAGGTTCAGATAATTGCCACCGGTGTTGGCCGTGATGCGGAAAATCGAACTCTGATCGTCGGGTTCATAGCGCAGCGTAGCGCTAACCGCTTCACCGCCGCTCCTCACACGAATCTAATCCCACACACACACAACCTTTACCGAGACATCTTCTTTCATATGGCTGATGTACAATGCAGAGCAACAACCCGAACATATGACGCACACAATATATTTATACAAACCTGGCCACACAAGCACGGTTTAAGGAATAGGGAACGCCCCCCCCCCCATACACCCAACGTTGTGTTCCGACCACAGAGACTACGGTAACGTCCTAGCACCGTCGTCTTCGATTGGCATTTTCGGCTACGTACGGCGCGAAAGAAGTTCAACATGCATACATAATGAAACGCGTGGCATCCGGTCTCGGATGCGAACCCAAGTTACCTTGAGCTGTTGGAGGTGCGCGTCCCTGCGCGTCCATCCGAGGTCCCTCTGCACAGATGCCTCCAGCTGCCTCAGTCGCGCCGACGCCACGCGAAGCCACGCGGCCAGGTTCGCACCCTCACCGGGGTCTCCCTCTTGGCTCGGCATGGTTGAGAGGTTCGGTGGGTGGACCCGGAGAGATTGAGAGAGACAAGGAGGGAGGGAGAAGGCGCCCCCCCCAAACCCCCACCACTAAGCAAGAGCGTAGCTCCCCAAACGCAGGGGCTACAATCTGCTGAACAGGAGCACATGGACCCCGATAGTGAATGTACTTCGTGGGGCTCACGTGCCGGGGGACACGTGGCTTCAACAACAGAGAGAGGTGCGCCACACCCATCCACCTGGAGCAGAGCGGGGCCCGCCCTCACCTGTATTTCTAGACACAGTTACTGTATATACACACATAAACCATACGTACACTTAAATACATACATTAGTCAAGCAAACGCACAGGGAAAGGACAGGACGTTCAAAAAAAGACACCAAACATTACCGGAAGCCACAACGTGCCAACTCGTGTCAGCACGTGGACAAAGATCCCCCGTATAGCCTTAACAGACTTTTGGGACAAGGTGCGCTTAGCGATCCACCTGTGAAGGCCGGTACGACACACGATGGGGTGGGCGGCCAACACCACGCCCGGTGGCCTTTGTTTCCCCAGTGGCGATGTTTACACGGGGCACTGGGTCCTCATTGGAGGCCGAGTTGACTTAGGGGAGCACCAGGACTGGTTCAGATAATATAATCGTCCACTGGTGTCGGCCGTGAGTAGGAATCGAACTCTGATGGCCGGGTTCGTAGCGCAGGGCGTTAACCACGACGTTTCGGAGGCAACACAAGCTTCCGTCTTCAGGTGAAACCGTCACAGCACGATTGCTGTATCAAACAAAAATCGTGCTGTGACGGTTCCACCTGAAGACGGAAGCTTGTGTTGCCTCCGAAACGTCGTGATGTATTATTTTATTTCTATTATTTCTTCTATTATTTTTATTATTTATCTTTTATTACTAATTTATTTTCCTCCCTAGTTGCCTCCTGCACGAAGCTAAATATTCATTGCATTGGCCAAACATTCCAATGTAGCATCATCCTGAAAAACAAGTTTGAGATTTAGCCATGCTTTTTGGGGGGGGGGGGGGGATACGATTGTGATTACTACATTACAAGTTCCCAACATCACGTCGACCCAAAACCCACTTCTGGTGGGTAGGGGAAGCCATGGAACGCGTTCGAAAGGGCATCGGTTCGTGGAGGTGGATTGTCGCAGGATTCTGGATTGGCGGTGGCTTTGAAAGGCCTTCATGCAGCAGTGCATTAATCATGGCTGGCGATGATGAATGAGGGGAACAGGTTGCACATGTGCGTACATTTTAATTACCATCCTGACCAAGGGCCCAGATTGCGGGTCTGCCTTTCCAAAGTTCAGCATTGACATTGCAGCCTGCTTGTCTTGATTTGCATACATTGTCGCGTGCGAAACTGTACGCGACAGAATGCGTTGGCATCTCGATAAACGTTGCATTTATTAACCATCACCAGAAGTTTGTAATGTGAGATCTGGCTGTGCTTGTCAGTGATGCTGCTGGTGGAATGAGCATACAAAAACACATTCCGGGGCAAGCCGCGACAGAAAACCCTCTTGTGTGATGAAGACGAGTTTTCCGACTAAAGTCACGTTTGTGCTGACCTGTTGCCACAGCTGCCCACGGCGGTAGAGGCTGTTGGTAAAGAGGGCAATTTGCCCCGGGCCTCACACAAATGAGGGCCCCATAACGTGCCTGTTTTTTTTGTCACTAATGAATAAGGAGCCTCCAGTCCCCAGGCCTCCAGGCAGTTCAGGGCAGAACTGCCCGTGGCGACTAAAACAAAAACCTCTCTTATCTCTGGAAAATCTGGTTCACAAAAAACGCACACGTAAATTAATGGTTCAATTATTGTGCTAATTGATTAAATGGAAAAGTTTTGCTTTTTATCTGGGCAACCTGAGTAATGCTTTTAAGATTCCAAGCGTACTTTTAGATAAAATAAATACATTTCTCATCATGTGACTTATTTAATAGCTACGGTTTAATAAAATAACGTCCCACGTGTAAAATATAGCTCTCTTTGAACTCTGACACAGCTCTTCATTTTTAATACGTGCAGATAAACCTTAACAAAGTAGCTAGAAAATAACGTTTCTGGAATTTTAATAACAGTTGAAGGTGGAGGGTGATAGAAATTTCACCAAGTGAAAGGGCAGGCAACTCGGAAGTTCAGAATTTAGAAAATAGCGATTAAATGTTGTGGTTGTAATTATGAAGGGGCTGAGATTGTGAGGCATGTGTGCACTGTTACAGGATGGAGTAAATGGGAAGCTGCATGGTAGTTCTAAACTGAACGTGTCAAGAAGGCATTGTGAATGTAATCTGGGAAAGAGGAGGTTATGATCGGTGCAGCAAGTAATAGGTTGGAGGAAGGCATGTAATAGCGACTGGCATTGGAATAATGCCTCGAGACCAGTAACCATTGGAGTGGCACCGAGAAGTTGGCGATCAAGGGGAACACCTAAAGCTAGGTAGTGATGATATTTTTTTAAATGGGGCATTGGAGGTCAGTTGCCGACTAATGCAGGATCTGCCAAAAGGAGGGATGTGAGTGAGCTGTGTTGACATGAAAGTGAGTGCCGTTTTAACATGTTGATCTTGAACACAGTAAAAATAACATTCGTCAAATTGAGACCACGCAATAGGCATATTTAGCAAAATTTATTGTACAGCAAGCAGGGTTTTAACTACAGCTGTACGCAAGTGTATACATCAGGCCATTATAGGGCATGCTCATTTATTGCCGGAAATCGTTAGCTACCTTTTTTTCTCCAAACCTTTCAACGTACTTCCATTACAATGTATACCTGACCCTGTCAAACGCTAATACTGTCCATAACATATACAAGGGCCTATTTATTACTCAGCAAATCCATACTAAAAATACTGCAATTCACAAATCCACTGGTACATATTCTACATCTCTACAGAGCTGGCCTCATTAATTGATAAAATATAAATATAATTGCGTGATCGAAGAGCTATATATATAGCGATCCGGATGATTAATACGAAATCGTGTCACAAAGCACACGCACATTGGCTTTTACACGCGCTAGCTATTGTAAACTCAACGTGGAGATTCAACCGTAAACGGACATTCAGACATGTTACGTGTTAAAATAAGCGTAAACAGCATAGACCTTTACGAACGGATATTTCAAGTAGATTTTTAAGGTGGCTCAACGCATTTTGATGCAGTATGCCCATCGGTTGTGTTTTGTACCTTCTGTTCAGAACCACTGAATAACAATTCACCGCCAAGCTATATAACGTGATCACAGAACGCTTCTGCAGCAGGAACACTGCTACCCTGGAACACACAGGGAGCTCCGCGAACTTGCCAATTAGTCAACAAATTAACTGTTGTACGATTAGTCTTTGTCGGTGCGAATGTCCTGAACAGGCACGCTTCCTCTTTTTGCAGGAAATTATCCCACATTTAAGAGGTAACCCCCGTTGTTGAAATTCTTTACTCATAACTTCCATCACAATACAACGCAATTTTGGATTCATATAGTGTCTGAGTGTAGCTGCACCTCTTAACTACATGTCTCCATGAGCAAACTTTCCCCCTTCATAAAAATGTAGAATTTACACCACTTTCTCCAGCCCACCAAAGGGAATGAGTGCCAACCACAAGTCTTGTTTAAGCACGGGGACAGTTTTGCTATAAAACTCGTTCCTTTCATCAAGCACAAAACACGCAGGGCTTTATTGATATGTGATATCATAGAGGGTATAGGTGATATCACAAAACCAATGAATTTCCAAGTAGAGTCGGATTAACTTTGAGGAGGGCCCGGGGCTGTTGTAGTTTTGGAGGGGTCCCTCATTGTAAATGCAATTCCTTCTCTCTTACTGTTTTAGCAGCACCCTCGCCCAACACTTAACTATAATTAGTTATTTTAGTTTGAGTTTTAAACTACTGCATATACGAATTGTTAAAACGAAAACTATTTAAATTGTGGCACGTCACTAGTAATACACACGCGCAATGTTATGTATTGAATTATGAAATCGCTATAGCATGTATAATAGTATTGCATCTCAACCATTATCAAACAGTATACATTTGGGGGGCCAACCTAAAAAAATCCCAGGCCCCGTGGCTGCTGCAACCCCTAAAGCCCCACCCCCCCCATGCGTTAATTCGGCCCATCCACCGAGATCTCTTCACGTCTCGCGTGCGCCACCTGGTGGACACACGCAGCGCCGTCGATTTGGCACGGAGAGCAAATTTGGCACCAAGGTGAGAAGTGGTGGTGTGGGTGTGCCCTCTTCCCTCATCGCTTCACCTTCACAAACCTACGGAAACTCACCACGACATTTCACAACCGGTCTCCAAATGCGATGTTGGCACGGCCCTGCGAGAATAGCACATCCATCAAAACCCGGCACGCTTCAGCGCTCAGCACCCAACAACCTGCATTTCTTTCTTAAATATAAAAAAAAACTTACCTCTGGCATAGCACCGTGTATATGTGCGAGCGCAAATTGTGGCAATTCTTCTGTATGTTCTATAGTTTTGTGGTTACTATTGGCCAACATATCAGTCGCTGTAATTAGCACGGTTGGTTAAGTACGGTGCGAAAACAATTCAACATACAATGATATCGGCTTATGCATCTTTTATGTAAATGGGCCTTGGTAACAGATGCCCAAATAATATGCAACCACAACAACCAAATAGCTCGTTCTATTGTGAAAAATAAGATAATCGTATTTATTTTTTATTTTTCAGGATGGTCCAGCACTCATGTTTGGAGAATTCATATTTTAGGAGTTTTTTTTGTGTACATGAAGAACACACATGCATACGAGAAGATAACACTCAAAACTCCATAAATTTGGATTCCCCCAAAACATTGCTGTGCTACCATCTCTTGCTGCCTTTGCAGGTTAGCAGGCTTGGGAATTTAACAAATCTCTAAATGATCAACCAACTCTTACCAACTAAGTGCAAGCATACACCACCTCCAAGTATATGTTACCTAGGCTTTTCATCCTGGGCTGTCAGCACACGCGTGTTCAACTTTGTCGATGGGAATAACAAAGCATGTAAAGGCTACAAACGAATTGACTTTGTCTGCAAGGTGGGTTCACACTAAACGACATGACACAGCGTAACAACATGAAGCTTCGCGTGACTCATCGGGAAAGCCTGATCTTTACACGCACATGCCAAACTGCAAAATCACTTAATTAAAAAAACCATGTCACCATGGCAATCCCTTGAGATGGAATATCTCATTTGCAAGGGTGTCCAGTATCGACGTGCCCAAATCATATTCATCAGTTTTATTTGTTCATTATGTCGTGTAAGCGATGTCTGTAAATTTCCATCCAAATTTCCAGCGGAAAGGGCCTTGGTAATAAGATATTGACGCTGTGGGATGTGCATTTTTTTTATTCGCTGGGTTTCCAATTATACGTATGCAAAATTACTTCACGAATTCTAATGTAAATATATTTCTCATTCTACTCAAATTGTGTACAGGGTCTTGGGATGTAGCGTCTGGAGATAAGAAAATAAATCAGGACTTGTAATTGGTTTCCCCCGTCTTGACAAGGACATTTACAGTGCTTTAAAAGGTATCTTTTTTTATTAAGTCTATCCATTTTAAAAAGTCTTACTCTCGCAAAACAAATATATATATAATTGTAGACCCCATGATTAGGAGCCTTGTGAAATGGTATATAAATTTAAGCTATAGTCCATAGGTGTGGTTTAATCATTATATCACAATTTTATTGCCCAAATTTAAGTACAATGGTCAATATTCTCACCGGGGGTCGTCCAGCGCTCACTTTGAAGGTGTGTACAGGCCTGGCTGCAGGGCTGGGTACCCAGAGTGCAAAGCGGCGAGGAGCATTAGAAATTGAATGCGTTGCATTTAATGATTTTTTGTAAATAAAATTTTGCATCATAACGCGTCAATGTAATGGATAGCAGTTATACACCTATCCCACAATATTAAACATCCTAATAAACAGACAGGGTTGATTACTACAGGATTACTTTCAAGATAATTTCAATGCTTTGTTCAGCCAAGGTGCTGTGAAGTTCGTACAAACCAGCAAAATGCCAGTGATGGTTGCTCACGTCACGCCATGTTTTGCCGAATCTGAGAATTGTTTCACTCCGTTTGTAAGCTGGGCGATTTAAAACAAAAACAGCCAGGCAAATTTTAATCTGCGCTCTGGAAAAATCCACTTTACCCACGTTTCACAGGCGTTTTAACCACAACGTCCCAAGCAAATTTTGCAGTACATCAGGGGTGAACATTTTATTCTTGCAACAAACTCGCTTCTCAGAAATTATTCCTGTCCTGTATTTTTACTTTTACCACACTAATAAATTACTAACTTTCAATTAAAGATTCAATTATATTTCTTGTGGATTACACTGTTACAAAATACACATTTACTTGGGTTCAACAAATACTGTAATCTTAATTACATTTCCAGCATATAGACCATCAATTCTGTACTTTGTGTTGTAGGGGTGTAAATAATGCATCGATTCGTCATTTAATATCAAATCTTCTGGTTCACGACACTCGCATGGAATCACGCAAACAATCCATTATTTCCGATTCATACGTGTAATATGAACTGCGTTTACGTGCCTCCTCCAGCCACCAGAGGCCACTACATTCACCAAAATATTTTTTTAATTTAAGTGAAATCGCAACAATTCACTGAGCCGTGATCGTGATCAGGGGGGGGGGGGACTGTCGCACTCCTAAGTGCCTTAAGCTGCACGTGGGCAGCTCGCCTCCCGGGAAGTGTGAAGGGCAGTAGAGGTGTGTTTACTTTGATGTTGTTGACATCACAAGTGCTGCCCCAGCACATGGAAAACAAGTGCGGCTAGGGTTATGATCAAGCTCCAAATGCGCACGCTGGCTCAAAATCCTCATACTCGCCTTTCTGTACGAGTTGTGGCTTCATGATTTGCATCTAATAGGGTATGTTACGCAATCCGTTACAAACCTATGACAATCACTGCCAAATTGTACTGTATTTCATGTGTATTATGTTACCGAATGCAGATCAACATTATGCAAGATAGGGTTTCCCAAAGGCCAGTCGTCGCGACCCACCACTGCGTGACTTTGTCCGTATAGCAAATTACCTCCATTCAAATACAAATCGTTGTTGCACACTGCACGCGCCTGATGATTGAAAAACACGTGAGAATATACACAGATCTTTACTTGAAGTTGAATCAACACTTGAAGTATCATGGGACATGCTTAGCAATCACCAGACGTGTGAATGACATAACGACTTAATCTGTGTTTGAAATTGAGATTGTTGGTGAATGTGAAAGGGGCATAGTGTGGTGCGTCGTCAAGACTGCTGTTTGGGAAAGACGGATCAGGGTCAGGAAAGTCCCTTAAAATGTACAGAATGGTCTAAACCTGTGCACCAATTTAATTCGCATAAGCTGTGCGGTTTCAAACTTACCTGCCTATTTACAAAAGCCGTTTGAGGCATATGTCAAAAAAGAGAGATTTACATGAACACCATTAAAAGAACAACACGCGATCAAACATGTTAATACTAAAGCAAGGATGTGTGGTTTGATCCAACACACAATTCTTGACAAATGTTGCCTTCCATGTACCAGACTGCACAAATGCTGCATCGATATTGATCATCTCAACACACAATGATGCTAAAGCCAAAGTCTCCTCTCTTCTTGTGAGAGAAACAGCAATGCGTGCTACTGAAGGCAAACAAATCTACAAGGCAACACACGTCTCAACTTTGTGAATGCTGTCAGTGCAAACTGAACAAAAAAAATAAACATAACTCAGATTCTTTTAACACATTTATGAAGCATCAAATACTTACACGTCTGTAAAACAACAAAGTGTCATTGCAGCACATGGGAGTGGACACGTGGGAGTGGAACGATATGATGCAGGAGACTGGGCGACCTCCACTATTCGTACGGCAGTTAGTCAACGATCGAACGTTCTGCCGAGCTAGCGATAAAGAATTACCACAAGGTGGCGCAGTAACACAAGCGGCAAGAGGAATTCTGGTTACACCATTCAATGTGTTAAGCTGTCACACCAGTATAAACAAACAATGCACTAATCTTCTCAAAATTAATATAGTTTTTTGAAAACATGTCGCTGATAAATAATAACTTCATTAATAAAACGTCAAAATAAGTTACTCAACGTCCGCCCGTGATTACGCTTGCAACCTCGATCTAATAACAAGAGCGACGATAGTGGAACAGGCTCGTGTTATCATAGTAAACAAAGTCTTGACTGGTTGCTGCTCACTGCATTTAGTAAATGAAGACACCACCAACCAAGTAGGTTTAAAATGCAGCAGTTTAAGCCTAACCCTAAATCAAACGTAGCAGGCCCCACTTCACACAATTTCAAAAGGCCAGGCATAGAACATCGTTATAAAACCTCTCCTGTAACACCGAGGCTTTCTGTTCCTCACCGGTTTTATTAATTGAAACTTAAGCATTTATATCATGATGAAAGGTATATATATATATATAAAATGTACACTGATTAGTTTTGCAAGATGAATGGACCAGGCAGTGAATGACCACACTCATTTTCAGTCTGGTGCAGATGTTTCCAGAGAAAAAGTGATAAAAACCACACGGCTCATAAATAAAATATGGCAATACTTTTTTTTTTACATTTTGCTAAAAACAAACACTGAAATGTTCTACAGCAGTTGCAGCAGCCATGCTGACAGGACATGCTGCAAGTGCAAAGAAAGCACGACTATCCTTCAATCATTTATCAACACTGTATTTACACTCACACCGAGCTCAGTGGAAGCTGGTTTGTTGCCCTCTACTGGAAGATGAAATGCCAGAAAAAACTGAAGAAATAAAAGCACACAATACCCTGACCACACAACCGTGTGGACCATAGTTGAAGCCTTCCAATTAAAAGGACGACGATCTGCCGAGTCGTCCAACACTATTGTAAACATCGTCCATGTCTATCAATCGATGTTACCATATGGCTGATGGATGACGAATCAACACCACTGTTCGCGGTATGTGGACGTACGCAAAAACATGGTCTCAAGAGCAGAAAATACGAATTTTCCAGAAATGCAGTTGACCTCTTAATGGTGGAGGGCAGACTTGAAGCCACACCAAGAATGGTATGGAATCGTGTGAATTGAATGATTACATCAACGTTTATTTTCCTCTCCTGGAAGGTGCTTCTGTTTTAAAAGTTTTTCTTTCTTTGAAGGGCACCGATCCCTTTTCAAGGATGACTTCTCATGAACAGCATCTCGCAAAAAAGTGCACAAAGTGACGGAAACCACTTCAGTTGGCATTTAAGAAAAAAAAATACAACGGCAGCTGTAATTTTTTCTTTTCTGAAGATGAAACACTGCGTCATTTTAGTAGTACCGCAATTCCCACGGCGGAAGAGCACTTTTGAAGTCTGATGCTCCGCGAACCATACACAGACTTCAGTGAAAATCCAAAAGGTCACAGATTGCCGGGCTCTGCCTCAATATCGATGAGCTTCCCCTCGGCAGGCTGGAGGAAGGAGTTTGGCTCCAAGCGGCTCCTGAAGATGGTGGGACAGTGGAGGATGAAGGGCTGGATGGGCGTGCGGCTCACCAGGGTGGCTGTGATGGACGCCATGTCCGTAAAGTTGGGCTTCATGAGCGTGGGCCAGAAACAGATGGAGAGGTTCTCGCTCGTCATCTTGTTGTTCTGGTTGTGCTGGTACACACTGTGGGGAAAAACACACACACACATCAATACATTGCTGAGCCACCACCATGTTAAGTACATTTTTAGTTTTTTATAAATCTGCGGCACCCTTTTGGCATAGATATGCCATGCAAGGCGCCGTGTCTCAAGGCCCTTCTATTTAACAATCCATCTAGCTCCTTGCACATGAGCTGATTTAATCACTATCTCTGTGGTGAACATCTTCTCAGGTGTGTTTCCTCCTTTGGCTGCCACTCTTTCATTCGTCTCGCCCACAGGCCAACTCACAATGTGTTTTTTTCCCCAAGTCCACTTTCTTTTCGTAGGAGCCTGTCACAGTGAAGTATTGAAATACAATATGTTGGCTGTGGCAGCTGATGTCTGTAATATTATTTCCATTTTTATTGTCAACAAAACAGAACTAGACTGCAACAGTTGATTAGATGTTGAAAACGTAACAGATAAGACAGTGTATTATCAGGATTAAACTATTTGTAATGGTGAGATTAGCACAAAGGTAAGTCTCAAAATAAATTCATGGCATTTCACGGTGGGCAGTAATAAGGGTCCTTATAAACTCCTGTGACAAGTTTTACGCAGTAATTTGTATTTATGGCTTGCCGTTCACATTATAAACCACTTTACCAAACCATAAATTGCCACTAAAGTAAGCCATGGGCCTGAAACTGAACTGAAGTCACGGGTTCATAACGTAGCCTCTTAGCTACTAAGCCACCACTCCCCCTCCAGCCCTTACCGACTGAGATAATACAAATCCATTCGTACAATCATTTTGACAAAAATGTAAAAAAAAACTGCCTCCTTTAGTTGGATTATAATTTTCAATGTTTTAGGAAATCGTTTTTTTATAACCTGATTGAAGAAATGCATGAACCAATTTATTTTATTTCACATAAAAAGGACTTGTGGTGAAACAAATTGACACTTGACAGCCTATCCCTTGAAAATGCTGTCGAGAAGTTATTCATCTCACATCTGAACACTGCAGACACAGGTGTTAGCACAGGGTGGCACCTGCAATACATCATCGTCATGAGCCAATCTGGCCAAATCTGGTGACACTGTAGAACATGCTGCTGTCAGGGAACATGTTTCCTCCCTCAATATTTGCTCCCCCAGGAAAGACTATTCTGCGCCGAGGAAGCAGGGTATGGGAATATTAGTTTTCTTGATACAGTCAATTTCTTTGCATATACACCTATATACGTACATTTTCATCCAAAGCCTTAACTTTAAGACAAATTCCAAAAGTTTGCTTTAAATATAATTTCATATTTAATACCATCTGTTTGGTCCTAACTGTTTTCCTCACCAATGTAGTATATAACCCCAAACCATAACATTGGGGTAACAAATAAGTACAGGTTAACTAGCATTTGCTGAAAATAATTATATTTCGCATTTAAATTTGCTCCAATGAATATCGCTCATACTAGGCCGGTCGCTATCCATTTCACTTTATCCATTTGCTTCCAAATGAATTCTGAAGGATGGCGTGACCCAAGCTGTTAAGAGCAGTTAATGACCAAGCAATGACATGTATTGCCGCAATTCAACCACCGTGTCAAGTCTTTGGCTGTGAAAACTGCACAGCACAACAATAAAGCGCAGTTGGCACAAATGATGAGATGGGATACCAGTGGCATGATGGAGAGCCTCTCCCCCATGCTGGCGAATGCAGAACTTGCACTAATTTGAGCCTGGACACGAGCCAAGGGAAGCCAGCTTTATTAAACTGTTGATGGTGTTGGTGGATATCGAGGGCTCAATCCGGGGAATAAAAAAGTGTGCGAGCTAATTTAAGTTAATTGCTCCGAGTACGCAAAGTTATGATTGTATTATTTATGTTGGTTAAATAAAATTGAGGCCACCAAATAATGTGAAAATGTATGACGGAAGCATATTTTGTGCTAGATTTGAAGATTTCGTGACTGCAAGGATTCATACTCTTAGGTTTTCTCGGTAAAGTCACGTAGGTAAAAATAAAAATAAATTATAAAAATTATAGAAATAATAATAGAAATAAAATATACTCTTAGGTTGTTTCAGTAAAGTCACGTAGGTAAAAATGAAAATAAATAATAAAAATAATAGAAATAGTAATAGAAATAAAATGATTTATTATTTTATTTCTAATATTTCTATTATTTTTATTATTTATTTTTATTTTTACCTATGTGACTTTACCGAAACAACCTAAGAGTATATTTTATGCTGCCTTCTCAGGACAAGTGTGTTGGAACAAAAACGCTGTACGTAAAACGAAAAAAGTATTTATATTTTTCAGTAAGCACACAATATGAAAGTATGAACCCTAGATAAGCGCTTTAGAATTTTCCAAGTTTTTTTGGCGGTTGTAAAAATAAGTTGGCCGTGCACACGCATGGCTAGTGGGGAGGAGGCTCCCTGGCTCTCGAAGGCTAAGAACAGCCTAAAGACTCGCATGCTTCACCACACAATAATTCCTTCTTGTAAATCCCGCCTGAGCACTTTGCAACACTACGTTACACGATTTTGCTTACAACGAGCAATTTAACGCGGTCGGGCTACTGCGGCGGCCGGGTGTTCCAGTTTTGAAAAGCATGACGGAGGAAGAAAAATCTTCGAGTGGGACTGTTTTACACATGCACACACTGAAAGACCAGTAAGCAGCACAAAAGGCTTTGTAAAGAACATGCCTCGGACCCTCCCAGACAGCACACTGGGTTGCTATGTAACGTCCCTAATACTCGCTGGTTGAGTCACACTGAGGCAGTATATTTAATACTTTAGGTCCATGCCGCTGACTTCCTGCCCATCTCAAATGCACCCGGGACTGGAGGAGTAAAGTTGGCGGACAGAACCAGGTAAATGCGTACAAAATTGTACGAATTTTGATTCAATTGCATCTCGCGACGCTGAACAGAAACAGTAGGCATGCTTATCTTAAAGAGAGAGGCAGTGAGTCAGAGACGAGCAAAAGAAGGTCTTTAGAACCCAGTTTAATCAAGGGTGGTGGCTTATACATGAATTGAAACTCATGATTTCCGTAGGAATGGCTCATCTCTTTTACTTAGCCGAAATTATCCGTATTAACAAATCAGCTATGTGTCTTTCAAAAAGTGCTCCAACCTTTCCTCATCTGCCTCTTATTTTATAATTTTGATCTCGGTCCATCTTCCATAACTATCCTTAATATACATACACAGTGGTTGCCAAAGGAGGGAATATGCCCGAGAGGATGAAGGGACAAAATCAGCTCATTTGGAGGTGCTAGGTGGATTGTCATATCGCAGGACCGTGAGAGGTGGTACGGCCTTGGAAAGGCCTTCACCCAAGAGTAGATTGATCATGGCTGATGATAATGATGTAAATTGTATATATTTATCCACCACGTGCACATACGTAATTAAGTCGTGCCCCCCGGTGAGTGACGGCCAAGCCATATGCGCACACTGATGGGATGATGAGAGGCGTGGTGCCGACTTGTGGTTTCCAGGCATGGCAATAGTTTGTACGTCATGCGTGAGAGAGTCACTGCGTCTGGTCTCGCCCAACTCCCCACCCCCCACCCATCCCGTTTGCACAGCTGGCCCACGTCATGTCCATCTGCTCCACCAAAGCCCGGGGAGTCAACGGAATACCAAACTCATAAATTAAATGCCCAGGGAATTATACAAGTGGAAAACGACACATTTAAACTCTAGACTGCCACCATTGTAAGAGGCATATGACAGTTTATTAGGATGTAAATGCAGTTAAATGTCTACACTTGACAATTCTAACAGGTGGATCGCTTGGCCTTAAAGTCAATAACACCGCATAGATTACACTTCATTTTCAGGCTCAATTACATGTTTAAAAAAAAATGCTTCTGCATGTAATAAAGCCTATTCATGGATTATATGACAGATATTTATACAATATCTACAATGTGAGCCCATTGGTGAACCACTGCTGGATGAAGGCCTTCAAACACTCTTTTGGTTCTGGAGTTTTTTGTTTTGTTTACCATACTTCACTCCACTGGTCAATGTAGCTTGAAGAGTGGGAGATTTACCAATTTAAATTTTAGTGCAGAAGGATGGATGCCCAATTGCAATAGTGAGTGCACATATTTAGCCCATAATAGTTCGAGAGCATGTTAAGAGGCCCTTACCGCATGCCATTAACACCACTGTGAGACAAACCATGATCCCCGCTATCTGTTGGAGCACAAGGTAACTTATATTACACGACTGGACATTTGTGTTTGCCAAAGGTTAGTGTGTAAGCGAACCAATTGAAAAAAAATCTAAATTTGGGACTAACTTGTTTGTGACTGTCAAGGATTGAACTGAGACTGGTAGCTTTGGTGTACTTGATAACCGTTCAAGACCAAGAATGTAATGTTCATTTTTCATTTGTCTGCCCAGGGTCCCGGATATATGACCCCAGAGCTGCAGCATCGGCAGTTGCCTCCATACTCAAAACGGCTAATTTGTGTGTTTTTTAGTTCATTCATAATCGTAAATAGCTTCCGTACAACGTAGTTTCTTCATTATAAAGCTCACGAGTAACATAACATGATGTGCATTATTAGTTTGCATGCAATTACCGCACGCTATAAAAAAAATAAAGCATAAAAATAAAGCATAAAAATAAAGCACTAGGAATGTGTTTTTCAGTTGGGATGGAATTACCACTTTTAAATAGAAACTAACAAAACTGACAATGCTGAAACTCAAACGAATCACCACAGTTTTGCACGTGCTGTATTTAAACGTAGAAAATAGTTTACAAACAAAGTGGAGCTCTTACGAAGGTCAAATTTCACAGGAAACAAATGACTGGCAATGCATGCCCTCTGCCTGGGCTTCATGGGCACTTTGAGACCGTCAATCACAGCCTACAATGAACCTGTGTTTGAAGTTGAAATAGGAGCCATTCCAGCACCAGAAGTCCAAGGCAATTTTGCTAACGTGACTGCTTTAGATCAGCGCTGCAATCCTATCGGACCCTGTCAAAAACTCACCTCAAAGAGCATTCTGATACGGCCGTATCATGCAGGAGTAAATGTCTGAGAGGAAACGTCACGTAAGTGGGAGAGCTGCGTGGAGCTAAGTGCTCCTGTAACAAATACTTATTTTAGCTACTTCAATGTCCCATTTTTAGTTTGTGCGAAGTCCAATAAAAGGATGTGACGTTGATTTCGGAAACGGCAAAGACCCCTCTCTCTATGACGCTGGCTGAAAATAAGTACCGGTGTAAGTGGGTGATGATGAACTTGAAGACATCGTAGTGGATTTGAGGAAGTTTCTTTACGACGTCCTGCAAAGCTGTGATCATATCCTTTTCGTTTTCAATACCTGTGGATAGATATACAATGCATTCATGAATATTTACATTTATCCAAACCTTTAGATTCAAGCAGATAGTATACTCAGATATATCTCTTATAAATTGTATACCTGTGCATTACAAAAATACAGTTATGTACAATATGCAATTAACATGCTGAAAAAAATCCTATCTAGCATCACAGATGCCATGCAGTAGCCAACAAAGTGTTCTAAATTGGAATATGCACACCTAGCTTGTTGCCATGGTATTTAAAGGTGACCTAATTATTGTGATGGATGTGCTGTGGAAGAGACACAGTGGCTGCATGATGGGAGTGAACAGAAGCATTAACCATGTCTCTGCTCAGAATCGACGATGTGAAACAAAAGCGTACACTCCACAACTGCACGTCTTTGGTTTACAATGCCATTGAAGGGACCACAGCTGAATCATCAAAACTGATGTGATACCGGCACTAAAACGAAAAGCCCACACAATGCTCTCTACCTAGCGAAGCAAAAGTTGTGCGCAAACGGCGCATCGTTCTGTTGACTAAGATGAATTAAGAATCGCATGCCTGCAGTGTTGGAAATACATTTCGGCTGACAAGCTTGTTGGGAGAAAATTTTGAGTGGAGGGGGTCCAAAACCGCAACACCATACTCTCCCTCCCCCCCCAAAGCGCGGTACGTTCCGCAACTAATCATAAGCACGTGCCTGCCTTGATATAGGCCTCTGTAACGGAGCCCTGAGGGAGCGCTGATTACAGCGCTGCAGGAAGGTACCATCTCTTATAGGGGTTCGACATGAATCTCACATTGTCTACATGTTTAAGCATTTGGAAAATGTGAAACATGCTTACATAAAAAGATGGATGATACACATTAGAAATATTACAATTGCTCATTGGCTGGCTGGGACATATCCTGTTTACGGAGCAAGGGGAGTGCAGTTGTGGTTATTAAGCCAGTTGCCCAAAGATAGAAACACAGTCACTTGCAAACAAGCTCAGAAAGTATTTCAGAGTTCCGCATTTACAATGCACATGTGCATACTATGACATCAACACTAAAACCTATTTGAATTGACGATGAAAATTGCACTTCAATCGAGCATTGCCCACATGTAAGTCATGAAACACTGTGGGTAGAGTTTAAGCACCGGTTTATAAGACATTTTCAAAATACCATTCGATATACAAGTCCACACTTCAGCACATGGAAGGTCTTACTCATAACAACATAAATAAACCACTGCAATGAATACATTCAGATAACAATACTTCTCCAAAGTCAAAAATGAATAGAAAACATGACCTTATTTCAGTAATTCAAGTGAAAACAAAAATGACACACATGATATGGTATGATACTCTACGGACATTAAATCAGTCTGAACGAGAAGAGGGGAAACGCCCACATTTCTTTTCCATGTGAAACTGAAACCAAACGCAATGCTTTGAGGCCTAAGACTTCTCCCAACTCAACCCAGGATGACTGGACCACCTCCCACTTAAATTCCTCAACAAATATTCAGCTGTCAGCCACTTGATTCATTGTGTGGGATGCCCCTAACACCACCACAGAGCACAATGAGAAAGAGGCCTCTGTTGCTTAAAAAAGAGAACCAATGCATGTATCGGTAAGAAACAGATAATTTCCCAGAAAATGTATCATTCAAAGTCTATTTAACATTTTTGTTCATGTCAGCACTACGACTCATCTGGCACAAAAAAAGGCTTTCTCTTGGCAATCTGCCAAACTATAACTCAACACGTGGTTGTGAACCAATGATACGAATCACTTACGGGAATGGTGTCAATAAATACAATATAGGGCTGTATTACGTGACGAAGCCAGCCACAATATTCTTGCAGAAGTTACACAAATAAAAAATGTAATTCTAGTCACAGTGTATTAAACACCGAAAAGTAAAAATTCTGCTAACTTCCACAATTGTGGAGCCCCGTTGGAACAAAACTTTCATTTGCTAATGAAAGTGGCAGCCAAAGAAACACCCCGAGGAAGGCTACCTCCATATAATGGCAGGGTCTGTCAGTAGCATTGCAATATTAAAATACTAAACTTAACCCCCCCCCCCCCATGGCACAATTAAATTGTGTGGCCGGCTATGCATATATTGCTTCTTTTCCAAAATGCTATTTTGGGTTTAAGAATGATAGTAATTATAAGACATATATTTGCAGCCATTTGTCATTCCACTGGTGAATTAACCACCCTCCCCCACATTATGTTAGCCATGCAAGTTATTTGAACATACTTCAGTAAGCTTGTGAGTGTGGCTTGGTGAATACGGGGGGAAGATGCAGAACCGGTTCGTATATCATTCCTTGCTGATGTCAGCTGCAGTTTAAAATCAAACTCAAGTCTCTGGGTTCATAACACGGTGACACTAACCACCGCTCCACCCCAATAATAATATACATGTAAATGCTCAGATTGGATTAATAGTCAATTTCAGCCCTTGTCAATCTACTGCTGGATGAAGATTTCCCCATGCCGTCAGTCTTAGAGGTTGTGATTTGACCTTACTTCATATCGGTTAGTGTGGGTTGGTGTAAGGGACTAAAAAAGATGTAAATTCATTACTTGGTCGTACCCTCAAGCCAGAAAAAATGTTTCAGAAATCTTTGTTTTAATTAACACCATCTATCTGGCAACAAAAAAGCTCTCAGTTGGGCAAATAAATATTGTGCATATATTATTACTGCTGTTGTCATTATCACAACCGTTGTTGCTTTAAGTCATTGTACAGATGGAATGTGACCCTGAGGCAATATCATAATTCTGCATCTGAACCCTCACTCCCTCTGGAGTACAAGCCATTGGTAATGCAATCCTCCTTAAGACAATTAAAATCCTACAGCTGGCTATTACATTTCCCGAGCCTGTGCGCAAAGCAGCAATTCACTTGCTCCCAGCTAGAGCAGAATAATTATATATCCACAATAAAGGATAAGCTTTTTTGGCATGTGTATTAACAATTATGCACAGCCTTGTTTATGCCGCAAACTATGAAAGCAATCATCAACATAACCAGCTTGAATCTAACACTTTGGATTCTCAAAGTCATATTTGGCAAATTAATTCTTCAGGCCTATAGGACATTTTATCGTTTGCCCAAGCACTCCCACGTATATGTCAACTCGCACTAACACTCTACACATTCTACCACAGTTAAATGCTTTGCAGGAATTCCAAGTAAAGGCAAACTAAAAAAAACCTACAGCCATTCATTCCAGTACAGATATGAAAATGTGCGCCAACTTCAGCGCAGGCCCTGGATTTGATTTTCTTGCCCCATTTTTGTAGCCATTGGAGCTTGTGGGCTTATCCAAAAAGACCTCGCAAAAGCACCAAAAGCTGATACGAGTGGCTGGAAAGCCCTTCCAATCCTTCAGCTGGAAGGATGTCTATTCACTTGAGCCCAGTATTGTGAAAGATTTTACTTTGACCAAAACATCTTTGTAGTTTGTAACCTCTTAAATAAATACTTAAAAAGCACAACGCAAATGAATAGTTATGTTCTAGCTGCACACATGCATAGGCTTATACATGCATAGGCTTATACATGCATAGGCTTATACAAAATTTTATCAAACAGTTTTATTCAGGAAATGTGGGACTCCAGCACCCAATTATAGAATATAAGCTAATATGGTAACAATCAGATGCAAGTCAAAGCAGCTGCCTGGATGGTGACGCCACTGGCAACGTAATTGAGAGCTAATGTTACACACTAGCCGTCACCACTAACACTATATAACCACCAACACCTCACATCTCCATCACACGTAACCTTGCCTCAGCAGACCGAGGCACTTCATAAGACAGATCACATAGCAGGGAAACAAATGTATCACGAGAAACAACATTCTTAGTAGTTTTTACATTTAAATAATTTAGAAAGATATTGCATGACATTGATTTCAGCATACATCACAGAGCATTTCTAATGTATATTACATTCCAAATACATTTATTAATTTATGTTTTAATGTTTACCAAATTAATATTGGTTTGAATATTAGCAGGGAATTGCATCACTTAGAACCTCATGTAATACTGTCTTGTCACACACAAGGGATGCACTACATGAGTTCGGCCATTGTCTCTGAAGGAAGGCCCAAACTCAGCTGTCTTGCAATGCTGCAATCCTTCTCCTGCACAGAACATCTCATCCCATCACTTCATCTCAAGAGGTAACCTCCATCCTTACATTTTCACCTATGGCAACTGTTCTGTTAATATTATTTTCCAACAACAAATATTTGTTTGGTCAGGTCACCTCTAAAAAACTCAGTGGGCTTTACCTGGTAAATACAATTATTTAGTTTAGTTGATACAGAACATCTTCAAGGATGCTGTAATTCAGCTTATTTTACACAGCACTCCCCAAGCATATTTTTATGCATCATTAAGTTCTGTGCTAATCACCATCTTGGGCACATTCTCTCCTTTGGCTGCCATTTCATCAATCGTCTTGTCAATTAGCCATCATCCCTTCAAACCATTTGTCCTGCCTAAAAATGCAACATTTTGATCAACAGTCAATGTAAGAGTTAGGTTTGCAAAATATCCCCCTCGACTGAATTACAGCTCCAAAGAAGTAGCCATCTGAGATTATGCATGCGATGGGCTGGCTTCACTTACCCACGGCGTCCGCCAGACTCTTTTGCTGTTCATATGGAATGAGCGGCTCCGGCAGGGCAGTGAAGAAGGACTTCAAGGCCCCGGTAACAGAGTGCACCGAGATTCCCAAACTCCGGAAGTCTACGGTGTGATCTGTCAGGCACACGGGGCATGCACATGCTGAGCAAGCATCCACAAGGAATTCAGTCACATTCAAAACTGCATTACCCCATTTTCACCACGGCCATGAGACAGAGAGAGGGGGGGTAGGGAGCAAAAGGAGTGACAACATTCCAAATGCATGCAAATCCATGCTGCTTGCAAATGAAATACCCTGCCATCAATTTGGAAGGCCTGATGGCAGGAAAAACCAATCGGTTCTGTGGACATTCAGCTGGAATAACAGAACCCATGTTTGGATATCCGGCAAGAGATTGCGATGTGTGTCCCAATGCAATATCTGCATGAGACTCAGCACACATGCACACAAGCAGGAGTGGAGGGCGACGGAGGCTTGTAGTAGAAGCTGCGGCAATCAGCCTCTGATAATGTCTGTCACTTATACTCCATTTTATACGAGTCCTGCAGCAAGCCTGCAAAAGCATTGAATGTAAACTAATGTACTGTTTTGGATTTAGGATCCTTTTGAAAAATGGATGTTGTATTTCAATGAGGTATTATCTAGTAATAAGATAACCTATATCATCCCTTTATACTGAATGCTAAAATACAGAATTATAGTCTGCAATAATATATTTATTTTGTTTCATGGGACAGTGAATTGGCATGGATTCTGGAAGGACCATCATTATTGCCTTTAATGTTGCCTTGCCAAGCCATTAGCTTACAATCTTTAGAACACATTCTCAAAACTTGCAAGTGCCAATAAGATTTTGTTAGCCTGTGTTTGTTGATGATATTGGAAACGTCGTAAGAGCGGGCAATATATAAAAAAAAGAAAAACCGTGGAGCTTTTCCACATTGTGAGATGGATTCAGAACACACATGATAATGCATTTCACACTTGTGCATTTGCCTACGTAGAATGCCTCCGACCTATCACTCCCCAATGACTGAAGATGTACGCAAAACTCTCAACATTATATTAAAAAGTCGCCTTTTAAGTTATACAAATAGTATTTCTGAGACGACAGACATTTTCATGGTCACCAATATTGCTTTCCAATCCAGTATAGGTCAAATGAAAATCCAACATTTAAATTATGTGGGAGAAATATGATAAAATAATATTTCCCCCACACAGAAAACAGATTCAAAGAAAATCTGTCAGCCTCCATGGACATGGAACACTTGTTTTAATAGCACATTGTTACATTTGGCCAGTTTTATGACATTACAGGGGGCGTTTTCATTTCCTAAACAGGCGATGATGCTCATGTAATCTGAATTGCTCTGTGTCATGCACCCATTGGTGACTCCCTGAATTAGCCAAAAGTGCGTGGATAATCTCGGAATCTGCAATTGAGGCAGGTCTGCTGTGCTGACTTTCAAAGCACAATTAACACGTAAAAAAATCTATGATAACATTGAAGTCCACAAAAAGCTATTTGTCATGTAAATGTAGGACAAAGACTAAATATAGTTTTGATAGGAGTCTGAATGTGTCTTAATATCATCATTAATTATTCATAACATGCATTACATATTAAAGGTCACAGTCTCTAATGACAGACTTAATATATGCAGGAATGCATATTTTCCAACTTTCCATAATTTGTAGATGTAATGAAAAAAGTAATTAGGTCAATTTGGATGTAAGCATTTCCTGTTTTAATAGTGTTCATTTTTGGATGTACTTCTCACTTAGTTCCACATTCTGTTTAACCTGAGATAACACAATGCAGGAGAGTGGAATGAGACAAACACCATTACACCCATTGCAACAGCCAGGTGTGGCAAAGGGACTTCACTCAAATATGGGTGAAAAACAATAACTGAATTATCTTTATTAGACACACCCAACACAGGCAATGGAAAGAACAGACTGACTCATTCCCGACACAAGGTGTTTGGACAGAACTATGTATCATGCAAATTTAATGTTGGTAAGGGCGATTCATCACCTTCATTTAGCAGGAATACAAAACACCTAAGGCAAAACAACTTCAAATCTCTCTCTCAACAAAAGCATATGGCTTGCTGTAGCCCAAAGGTTTTCACCAAATAGCACATGGTCCTTTAGCTCCACTGTTCCTTTATCAAACACCCGTCCAACACAGGCCTCAGTGCATCATGAGCTCTTTATCAAAGAACACAAACACAGGAATTCCACTGTACCTTTATCAAACAGCAGTTGGATGTTCTCCTGGTCGGCTTTGTTGCCGCTAACGCGATAGAGGCCCTCTGTGTCTAAACCTAAAACACACGACGCAAAAAGAGAAGAGCCTGTTAAAGCAGCCGCATGCGACATACATGGAAGCAGAATAATCGTGCGTCTGCGCGCAAAACTGACAGGCATAATAGTTGTTGAAGTACGTGCTGTTTTATCTGGAAATGCTCCAACACAACATATTTCTGCACACAGTAAATCCCAGCCACCAGCAACACATAATGGGCTACAGCAGACTGGGTACCCTCCAAAGAAAAAGAACCACCAACACATAAAGCCCCCCCCCCTATCCATGTCCAAGATTCCTACAAATGAACAGTGCGCAGTTGTTGAATCCCAGGGCAAATGCCTGCGTGGATCCTACGGATGGAAACAGTCCTGCTGCTAAGAAAGTGAAACTTATTTGAACATTTAATTGGATAAAACATGTGACTCACAGGAACATACATAGCACACATACACCACATGTGCACATTGTTAAACGCCATTTAAAATTGTTACGTATACTTTCGTTACATATGATTTCTGCTAAATGCTAAGACTATTGTTACATTATTTCCCATAGTACATATTGAGTTAAACTAATATCCCAGTTCAGCATTTGCATATGCTTATGTTAATTTATAGACATCATCATTCTCAAACATTATCAATCCACCACTGGATGAAGGCCTTGCCCAAAAGTTGCCATCCTACATGGTCACATAATCCCACAATCCATCTCATTCCTGCACATGAGCTAATCTCATTCTTATTTCTCTGTGGTGATCATCCTCTCGGGTATGTTTCCTCTTTCGGCTGCCATTCCGTCACCCAGACAAATACACAAGCTACCATCCCTTCTAGCGACATGCCCTGCCCAAGCATACTTCGTTTCCTTAACAGTCAGTATGTCCATAAGTTGTGTTTGTTCCCTGAACCATACGTTTCTCTTTCGGCCTTTCAGTATAGTTCCAAGCATGCATCTCCCCATGCTTCTTTCTGTACTTGTGAGCTTTTGTTTAATGTTCTTTGTTAGTGTCCATGTTTCTGATCCATGTCACAAAGGGTAATATGCACTGACTGAAAACATTCTTCCTCAGGCAATTCTGCATGATGCTTTTCATTTTCAAAAACTCTAAAATAACTCCATCTCTCTTTATCTCATTATTTTGATCCTGATCTGCTTTCAATAGACTCTGATGCCCTTAGCAAAGCAAGATAGCACAAGAACACAATGGACACCACATTTTATGGAGTGCAATGATAAAAAAATAATATAAGGAAAAGTGTGGTTATGTCATTACTAGTATATAATTGTTATCATGGCAGTGTAACAATGTATAATTCAAATCTAGATAGCAATTATTATTTATTATTAAACTCATGATACTTTCATAGAATCGCACATTTAAAATCAGCATTGTTAAATATGCGTATGTTGTATGCCATGGGTTAACGTGACCTCTTCAGCTAATAGTGGCCACTACATTCATCACATAATCATCAACAATAGTCAATCTGCTGCTGGATGAAGGTCTCCCCAAATTGTTGCCATTTTGCATGATCCTGCGATGTCACAATCCACTTAGCAAGTACACACGTCACGGCAGTGCATTGATGTGATGAAGAATCTTGAGAGCCCTCAAGACCTAAGGAGCCATAGTGGATGGGGGACCCATACCAGTCAGATACCTAGCGAGAGGGCGAGACCAATTGTGTGTTCCCTTTACCAAACTGCACTGACCAGCATGATGAAGTATAGACTGGGCCACTGGACATGCAGAATTTTGCTCTTTAATCTGCTACTGGAAATGGGCCATGACAAATTCAAAACAAATTAAATTATTCACCACCTAAATGATGCTGATATTCAAGTTGGCCCAAGTATGTGATGACCCAATTTCAGGACAAGCTAACCATGCAAATAGCCAGTTACCCATTGGCTCAGTCAACCCTGTTTAGAGGCCACCCAACCACACAAGAAAGCTGGGTTTAGGATTAGATTCTTTACCATCGACCACATAAAATCAATCATAATATGGAAAACACGAATAAATAGCAATACTCAAATACTATTATTCCAAGCCTTTTTAAACTATGAGAAGGCAAATTAAATGTATGCAGTCTTCCAAGCTCTCCAAAATCAAGACTCAGTAATGGGTTATACAACCACAGAAATTACAGGCATTACTGATTTCATATACTGTACCTCAGTAACTTGTTCTACATTTTTAAAATCTATACGAGAGCCATGCATACTGACACCACCAATACTTTGAAGTAGTGTAATTCATTTGAAAAATGCTGTGGGACCAGATGGCAACCCGCCTTCCCGTGTGAAGGAGGCCCTTGTGGAATTTTTCAGCTCACCGTGAAACGCCTAAATGCCGTCTTCCACCACTTACGAAGCTGCATTATTTACATATTCCTGGGTCTTGTCATAAATCATTACAAAACAGGCGGAAATACAAGCCCTGACAGGATAATTATTTTCAAATAATACAGCCCGCCGAATGTTAACTGTACGAAAATAAAATTACACTTATGTGAAGCCTACTATACAAAATACATATGTCAGAAGAAGAAAAAACACAAAAGATTGTCTGGACAAGGAAGTACTCATGATGTACCACACATAGATGTGTTTACAAGTGGACAGTCCAGTGAGCCAAAATATGTTGTTCAAATGTGTTCATCCTGTTGTTATTCCCACTGATTAGTCCCATCACGCAAAATACCTACGTACAGGAAAGCACGACCTCAATCTCAACCCAGCAAGCGAAGAGAATTGACCGGTCATCTGTGCTGCATCATCGCGGCACACATCATCCCCTCATTTGCCTCATGTAAGGTTCTCTTTCTATATTTATTTACTTTGCTCTCGAGCACAACTCCATATGTTGAAACAGGACCCACGGAATGCAAAGCACAACAGACCTTGGCAATTACAATATCTGTTACAATAAACTCAAAAAACAATACTGCCTATGTTTAGGCAAGCTAAAAGAACATGTCTACATCGTAATCCCAGTGTTGCGTTGCAAAAAAAAAAGACAAAGCGCAAGAAAGACAAAAACACAAGTCTAAGACTTATTACCATGCGTACATTTTAAATCATTCCCACGGGATAAAAATCAGATTTTCATCACCGTCAGCGCCATCAATATCATTTAATGTAAACGCAACTAAATCCTAAAATCAATACGACGGCGTAAAACGCACGAAGAGGGAGGCCTCTCTGTGGCAGTTGGTCTGACTGAGCCGTGGTGCAATGTGGAGCGAGCAGGTGGCTAATGTCTCCCTACAGGGGTAAACGCGTTGTCCTCTTGCAATGGCGTTAAAATCCTTGCCTCCTGTCTGGGTCCCCCACATTAACCGAATGTCACCACTCGCATGAACGCCAGGTTATTAATCAGCCTGTGAACCATGTAATATGATTGGTGTGTAACGACGCATTGACTCATCAATTAAAATTGATTCTTAAGTTCAATATACACGCATCGAATTGCGGGTATGAGAATTGATTATTTTAGATTCACATGTAATGGGTCCACATGACCTCTGCAACCATAAAATTAACCACAATGGGAACAAAAAAACGAATTTTCTGCATCAAATCACAAGGCAGGCAAATTGCCATAAGACTAATTATGATTAATATTCATTGAGTGCATTTACATATTTGCTCATCATCATATTCATGTAACACACTGTTTCCTGGGAAAAAAAAATTGTATGATAGAGGAGTCGATTCCTTGGTATATAACAAAATATGAAAAGCACCATGAAAAGAAAGCTGGATGAACACCACCGCAACCAAAACAAAGCTGGAACACTATCCAACGCTGTAGTATTTGCTGCACATTATAGCAGTGAACTGGGAGTGCCTGGCGCAGTGTTGAATAAGCTAAGTCAGTTATTTTGTTTGCATGCTGTTCAATATTTGAACTATTGAAGAGTGATTGTAAAAAAATAGTTTTACTGGATCATGCCTACAAACACCGATGTGTCGGTCACAGTATATCCATCCACGTTATATCAAGGACACAATCACTGTACAATACAATTGTAATCTAAATGCATCCACATCACAAGCCACTGTACAGAAACAGTGCATATATGGGCGTTTTTTTAGGGAGGCAGTTAATATAATTATTTTTTTGAGAGGCAGTCAGTCATATGCAGAGCAAAAAAGGAAGACCCTGACCCTCGACTGAAACAGGGGTAGGGAGTCAAAAGCATGGGCTGCTGCTGGGGGAAAGCTGTTCCAGATTGTGGGGGCAGCAGAGGAAAATGAGCAAACGGGAAACCTGTGAATGGGTAAACATGGGCCATGGTGGCGTTAGAGGACTTCTGTTTGGGAATGTACATGTTAGCTGGTCACGGGAGCAAGACAATAAAACCAACGCAACGCAGCAGTCAGGGCTGGATGCATTGCACGGTGCCACCGTCACTGCGGCGTTCGTGTCACTAAAATAAAAAGTCCATGACTAACCGAAAGTGCTGCATTGACGGCAGAAAAAAATTGGCACATGGTGGGTCAGAACAGTCGTTAAAATACAAAGCATAGATTACTCTGACCACCCCACACTGAGAATCTGCATTAATATCACTGTTTCACCACCTGCAGTGCTCTGCAAAGTCAAGGAGAGGCTGTCACATTGATAGTGGGGTCACGATTAACCTCCAATGAATAGTTATGATTTAGGGTTGTGAATCAATTCAAGATTCGCTTGTTTTTACCTTCCCATTGTTTCTGTCTCGCTTGTAGTCTTGCAGGGTCCATTAACCAAAATGTAAAAACATAATTTAGTTTGCATATAATTTTCCACACGTTTAACATTGTCAATTATTACACACCCAATTCAATGCATAGATTGTGAGCCTAAATAGTAAATTTTACCTGATGACGGGCTCCACTGTTCATCACCTACACGCTGCCATGCAAATACAGTGTCACCAATGTACACGGGTTGCAGCTGGCACTGCGACGCTACAGTATGTTGTAAGTAAGGTATAGCCAAGCCAAGGTGGCATCAGGGCTGAATGCACAAGGTTTATGCAATGCTTGCTGTTATGTTGCATGCTTGTCTTCAGCGCTGCTGCACACAGACACTGGGTTATCGCGACTCGAACACATTGCTTCCCCGGGAGGGGACCCAGAGGGCTTTCCGAGCTTTCCAGAGAAAGGTCACCGTTTCAGAGTCACAGGGTAATTGATTCCTTTTAGAGATTACCTTGGTGCACAAACAATAATGTTCACAGACATTATCATTAATTAATTGGTGGTTGCCTACATGACAAATGAGTGGAAAAACAGAACAGAAAATATTTTTAACATTGTGTAATTAAAACAGTAATTGGGGGTTTTATATCCCTACGATGAAGCTAAGATGACAACATTAACTCTTGACTCAAGACAACAGCTCATTAGTCGTATTTTTTGTAAAATTTAAAATCCCTAATGACAAAGGATGAACCTAGGTCTCGAACTTGCAAGGGCTACCAAAACGCATGGGCATATGGCTTGATGTCCAACCAGCCAGCAAACCAATCAATTGTCATGATTTGGGGCCCCAATTCGATTCAAAAATCTATTCTTTTTTTTTATCTTGTTTTCCCATCTTGTTATTGCTCGTTATTGTTCCCTGTCTTGTTTGTACAGTTGTATTTGAACTATTGTCAAAATGTGACATGAGCATATCATTTGCATATATCAAAACACCCCTATTCCAACATATTCTCAGCAATATGAGCATTAAGAACCTTAAAAACCGATATTGATCTTTGAATTAGTGCATTGTCACACCCATACTTACTCAAGCACACTCCTCTGTCAGAGCCCTGCTTCCACTATGAATGCCTCTGCCACCATGGCACTCTCATTAAAAATTCACTATTTTGTAAAAAAAATTGCCAATGATTAGTCGAGCCCTTCCCCTTAAAGTGGCAGGTAGCCCAACATGTGCAACCGAGCACACCATTTAAAGCAAGCCCGGCATCGTAGATGCCAAGGCAAATATTGTACAACTTCATGTTAAAAGCCATTACTTTTTCAACTATTCATTCCTCACACGTGTTTAACTAGATGCCAGCACTGAATATTTGCAAACGCATTGGAAGCTCTGCTGACAGACATGCTTACAGAACACCTAGTATCCAGTCACAGCTAAAAGAAACACTGACTTCTCAAACATATCGGCTGTATAACCTTATCAATCATATACTGAATAAAAAATGTGTCCATTTTCTTCAATCCACTGCTTGATGAAAGCCACTCCATGGTGTCGGTTGTGGATTTTTTTTTCCTTATTTCACCACGCTGGTCAATACGGGTTGGTGAACACAGGGCCTAGGATCGGTTGAAATATCACTCGCCACTGATGTATGCTATGGCTGTGACTCAAACTCTGGCTCATGGCAAAGTGCATTCACCACGAAGCCACGACTCTCCCAAACTGTATAAGCTGGCAAAAATAGGTGCTCACTTACCACAATACAGCATCTGTAACAGTCTACAAGACTAAACAAAAGCCCTTTTGTGTTATGCAAGACCATACCTAAAGCAACGTCAATAAAACTGGAGAACTGCTGGTAAAAAAAATACATGTTAAATGTAGCACATGTCTGGTTCTTTTTCCATTGCAATAATACTGCACTACTTTCCATGGAAAGCGCATGCAAGTGTGACAAGCAGTATACCTCGGGTATTATTCCTACCCTTATGACAGTAAAACATGGATTGTCAATGTCCCTCCACTTATTTCTCCCCCGCAAATGGGTTAAACCATAGTGTTTTTAATGAGCACAGTGAATAGTATAGATTGGCAGGGAGCCCTTATGAGCTCATCTCTTATTTTATCAACAAAGCTCTCTTCACCTGCTGGCACAGAAACAGCCTGAAAAGTAATAAACCCTGAAAAGGGTATATTTAATCTTCCCGGGCACAATGTAACAGCGGGGCATACATATTCGAACATCAAATGGATATGAAAAAAACATCTTTGTTGCTATGACAGCAGTTACATTGATGTATTTTCCCATACATTTAGACCACCACGAACGTTCTAAAAATGCAAGTTATTGGTAACACACGTAGGCGAGGCTTTAAATATAGGAACTGCAGTTACACTTTGGGCTCTGTGTGAAATCCATTTTTAATAAATGAGGTCGTCTAAGTGTTCTCCCTCTGGATTATGACTCAACGTGCAATTACTGCAATTCCTTCCCCGCACTGACCTTGTGCAGGGCCACGCTCCAAACGTACACATTCAGTGAAAGCGGGCCTTTAAAACACACTCCAGGCAGACCTTCAACTCTAATGCGTCAGCGCCATTTGCTGAAACTCAAAGGAATCACTGGCCTTGCGCAGGTGGGAAGGTCGAACTTTTCCATTCAATTGGGAAGACCGTGTAAAAATATGCCGTCGAATTATATTTTGTGAAAAACAAATTTTCTAGCATGACAATGAGTCATTTCACCATTGAATATGTGACAAAGCCCAGTGCTGCTCATCTGATTATAAAATGGTGTTTATCTTTTGCCAATGAACATTGCGTGTGGTAACCTTGTATCATGAGTGTAAAATATGAATGCTTTTATCTTGTGAATTGTAAAATGTTTAAACAAAAGGATTAACTACACAGGCCTTATGAACATCATTCAGTTTTACGCAGGGAAAAAGGAAACATACAACGCTATGAAGGTTAACTTGTAATGAATGCAGATAGCCTCACTGTATAACAGCTTCAACCTTTAAAAAAAATTTGTCCACTAAAAAAACTTACTTCTCGTTTGTAATTAACTGTGGGAAATTTGGTTTCCTACAGTATCCACTGACATTCGCCACAAAGACATGTTCTCTGCCGATAAGGAAAAAGGTGTTTCCTCCGATACGACTCCAAATTTAGAATTACACTTCAAGTGAAAGTTGTTACGGTGCGTATACTTGTAACATGTTACGTACTGAAAGAATAATCTTGTTTTTTATCAGCCTATAGACCTGTAAGGGAAAATTCCAAGTGGAAAATATCTTTGCATCGTACTTACCATTCATTTCTATGAAGTCCACACACTTGTCGATGAAGACGGGCACTGCTTTGGTTGGGGACAGGGGAAGATCCTTTAGTGGTAGCCCAAAGTAGCTAACCTTTGGGACACTCTTCGTCTTTGCCTTGGGTGGCTTTGGAGTCTTCAAACAAAAGAAAGCAAACTAATTAAAAAAAGACTAGGTACTGTAAATCTACACTGGAGATGCAACCGTCAACGTGAAGCAAATTATTTCATCCATAAAATGTACTGTACGCCATTTGCATTTCAAACGCAGCATTTGGAAAAAATGTATTTATTGTACATGGTTAAAAATGGCCATCTAGTGGTAATCACTGTCAACTGGAGGATGATTAAAGGATGCACAAGCAGTCTGGCAGAGGGCTAAGCAAGAACAGTGTCCCAAGGAGCAAGGGCCACTACACATCATAATGAAGATAACTAAGACATACTGTGCAGCATAAAAATCAACACTTCACGGAACTGCAGAACTCCATAACAGTCTGTCTTTAAAAATAACATATGCAACATCACGAATGATGAGACTGTGTCATACATATGGAAGATAGCGTATTAAGCACCTAACTGAACAGCTTAATTGAAAAAAATGTCAAATAAAAAATATATATAAATAACATTTCACGTACTTCCTGGAATTACTTTAAAATATCCCCCAGTGCAATGCACTGCAAGCTTGCACGAGTCGTTCCTCGTGCTAATACACGGCATTGCTGCGATTAAATAAAACTGTCGTACATCTGACACCCATGCGAACATCACCACCAGGGCAATTACACGGTTTAGGACTTAAGTTTCAGACATTTAAAGATGTGGGTAATCATTCGTATAATCATTAAGTGATATTGTTTTAAAATCGGGCATAGTATAACAAAAAACTGGATAGCAATAATTTTCACAAACGTTTTCATCCATTCTGAAATGGTGATGGTGCATTCATTTTCATTGAATCGGCAAATCATTTAATCAATTAATTATTAAACCACATTTACAAAAATATATATAGATGATTGCCTACGAAATGACACCCAACATGAATTTAATCATTATCATTTTTAAATTGTCCAATTTGTGAAACTCCTCACCACAATACTGCCTCGCGTTTGCTGTAATTAGACAAGGCAATATTTTTTCGCAAATAAATACAATTTCATGGGTATGAGCCCTAAAACGTATGGCATGTGGTGGGATAAGAAAATCTCACAAGGGAAAAAAAATCACATCACTTACTTTGGCCTTGTCTTTCCTTTTGTTCTTTGCACCTTTCTTTTTTTTTGTTCCACTATTGCCGGATGTTTCAGCATCGAACTCCGCAGCGGGGTTGTCAAAGCCCAGATGGTCGCACTCCGAGGGCGACAGAAGTGGGTCAGAGTCACTGCCCTTCTTCTTGCGGCCCCTTCTAACCTCGCCGGCTAGACTGCCGCCCTGCTCCTCGTCGCTGGCATCAGAGAGCATGGCGTGCCGCCGGATTACGTCTGTGGGGTACACCTGCTTTCTCAGCAGAGTCCTGGACTTGAATCGGTACGAGTGGTTTCTCTTCACCTGCTGTCGTACTCTCAGCCTCTGCTCAAATGGGCTGTCGTCGTCACTGTCTCCATTTGGCCCCACCAGTTTGGCACGATTGAACAGCTTTGTCATCGACCATATCTTGCCATCTTGCAATGGCGGAAGCTCAGTTGACTCCGAATCTTCCGGTAATGTCACAGGAGCTTTCAGAGGACCCTGAAGTTTCACGGGTCCCTTGCTGATGCTGTCATTTATCTTCTCGAGAAGTTTGGGGTCCAATTTATTTACCTGCGGCCTCTCCATAATGGGTTTAGGTTTCGGAGGAGGGAGTGACTTGCGTGTCCTCTCAATGTCTTGGCTCGTAATGTTGGTGCACGTGAGTGGATTCATATTCCCCTCCACATCCATGGATTTTACACGGGGTGTGGTGCTTGGAATAAGCTGAGCTTCATCGCTCGTTGGGCTGTACGGAGGCTGGCACTCATCGTCGTCACTCTCGGATGGCGACGTCAATGACGGCAATGATGCCTGGTGCAGCGTTTCATTGCTCGATTCCAAAGTACGGTCACTCTTGTAGTCATCTTCAACCACAGTCTTCTTCTCCAAAACTTCGGTGAAAAATGTCTTCAGATATTCCTTCTGTCGGTGAAAATGCGGCTGTGCAGATGCAGTAATGAACTTAGCTCCGATCTCATTCGCAATATGGTTGCCCTCAGTGAAAAGTTCTTTTGCCAGAGCATTTTCAAAAAACTCTGCAGAGCTGTCAGTGATAGGCCACCAACAGAACTGGAATGACATCTGTTACATCGGAGAGGAATGCACGAAGCATTGCAAAGGAAGCTTTTCTTTTGGCAGAATACACCAAAATGTAGCCATGGATGAGCTCTTCCCTCTTCAGCATTGCTGCGTGGTAAGAGATGACGGAAACCTTCATCTTTTTATTCTGCATTCCCACAGACATTTCTAAATTTATGCAGTCATTGTCAGTAGAATGCCCACTGCTGCAGAATTCCAGAAAGGGCATTAGGACCGTGTCAATGTTGAAAGGGTCTCCACACATTAGACACATGGTGATGTTCACATCGGGCACACCAGACTCTGGGCTGCTGAATGGGTCGGGCAGAAGAGTCGTGTTCTGGCAAGCATTTATGATCTGACTCAGGGCATGTTTGATCTGTGTTTCATGGAATTGTTTTGGAGATGACATCTCGGAAGGGCAATCAATAAAAGAGACTTGTAGCTTGTTGGCCGCTTGCTGGGCTTGCTGTCGTAGCAAAGGCAGCTTTCTGTTTGTAACGTCCTTCTGATTTGCCAGCATCAAAGTAACAGGAATGCAGCTCGAGAGGCCATCCTTCTTTATGAAAGATGCACAAGAATTCACTCTCCCTAGGCTGTCCATGATGTAATTTAATGATTCCAACGAGTTGAAAACACACAGACATCCGCTGGGCTGAAAAACGTTACTCTGCATGATGTTTGCAAAGCCTGTCACATCTCCATCCATTGCTTTCAGTTCCAACTCATAAACCTTCCCATTCACCGTGAACTCATTTCCGGTCGATTGCTGTTTGATTTCGCTGCCAAGTTTGCTTGCGAGGCCATCTCTACCGAATATTATAACATTAAATGTATCCGCATTGTTAAAATTGATTAAAGATTCCGAACTTTTGCTTATCAATTTGGGAATAGTATTTGAGAGAAGCAGTGGAATTTGCAGGTCAGTGCACTTGTCTTTGCTAAAGCAAGACTCCCTGGTTGGGTGATGAACAAAGAATATGTGTTTCAGGATCAGTGCATCTCTCTCAGCAGACACCCACTTGAGTGCTTTGTAGCGACTGTCATGTTCCAAGTCCTGATAAATCTCTGCAATCTTGTCATGGTTAAACGCTTCATTTCTGTCCACGTCAGCAAACGTTTCCGAGTGCTCGAGAAGCAGCTCCTGGTATTCGTCTTTTATTTTATCTATTATTTTGCCTTGACACTCTTGGTAGATTGAAATGCGCTCTTGCTCGCACAGCATCTGCGAGCACTCCTTGTCTATGAAAAATGCCTGTGCATCTTCCCATGGCCTTCCTGGCAACACCTCGCTTGAATTCTCCAACATGTTACAAAAAACTCCCTTCATTTCCTCCTTCTTCCTCAACACCTGCAATTTCTGCACATGGGCTTGGAAATGTGAAGGGCCAAACTCTCGCAAAAATTCAACAGGGATACGCCTGTCGGTGACAGCGTTGATATGACTGCTTTCGGTCCAAACCCCATCCGACAGCTCGACAAACCACAATCCAAACTCTGGTTTCTTCTGCAAGAGCAACAAAGCCTCATCCCAGCTAAGGAATTCAATGTCCGTGATGTCAGGGATCAATGAGTCAAAAGCGTTTGGCAGAGAGCTGATATATTGTGCTATCTTTCCTTCAATATGTGCAGCCTTTAAACGTTTAATGTGTTCTCGAAAGTAACTTTCAGCTCTGTTAGCACCCAGCAAGTCCACAAGCTGGACATACTCCGGGTAGTCATCCAGTTGCTTGCTGGTCACTTGCCAGGTTATGTGGTAGTCTCTGACAATTTTTGTCAACCGAGAATTATAATTCTTAATGGCACGTTGGTGGTGTTCCTTGACTTGCTTGGCAGCCTCCACAAATTGCACCAACTTTGGCTTTCCTTTCAGCTTGTCAATCATTTGTGCAAGGGTCAGAAATGCTGCCGACACATTGACATTGTCATTTGCTGATGTCTCAACTACTGGCAGGTTAACTTTTTTTCCAGAAGCAAAAGCTTGAAGTTCCTTAATGTACTGCTCATCCAACCTGTCACACTTTGTGGCAACCAACAAAATGGGTTTTTTTGATTTCACAAGTTGCGATACTAGCTTCTCCAGAAACCTCAACTGATCTTCCAGTATTCTCTGTGTGGAAACGCTGACATCGAAGCACACCAAAAAGCCATCAATGTGCAGCTTACCATCGGGCATTGGATGCTGGTCAAAATCTTGCTCAATTCCAAGTTGGTCAGTGCAAATGTACATGAGCTTTTCGGCTGAGGTGAGCTTGGTGGCTGCCGCACGTTTGATGTAATGCTGGGGGTTGGAGCTCCTGTGTGACTGGAAAGTGGCATCGTCAATAAATTCAGTTTGTTCGACAACATTGAAAATGTACTCTTGTCCCTCGTCAGTCGTCCGCGTTGTCCTGCCCCAGTAAAGGTAGTGATCATTATTTACAACCCGACCACTGAAATCAATTTGGCTCAATATCGAAGTGTGTTCAGTGTGATAGTCATCTGCTTTTGGCCTTAAAAATCTGTTGCTGAGGCATGACTTTCCTACTCCACAGCTTCCCTTCTCCTTCTCAGTTCCTGAAAGTCCAACAACACTTATATTGTAGGTTCGTGTTTCCTTGTTTTTTGACATCGCTGTGCTGCGTGTAACATCACACTACTATTACATGAGAACAAAAGCAATTATGTTTCCATATAATATGTCATTATAATAATTTTGGCTCTTTCTTGCACTTGCGAACAATATTTTCCATGTGACTAGCAGTAACAAAAAAAACTTTTAAAAAATGTTCGCCAACAATGAGGTCCTTTAAATTTTTTCCAGATGAGCAATTGTTTCTGAAAGACAAAAACACAGAGACATTTTAAATATTTTAAAATAACGTTCTGCTTGCATTGAGAGCTTAGTTATTTAACACAGTGAAATTAATGGAAAATTTACATGATTGTCACAATAATTATGTAACCGCAATGTTAAAATACATCGATGGCAGAGGTGAGCCCAGGAAAATAAAACGTTGTTCTCAAAAAAGTACATGGAAGCTATGAGTATAGGCAGGGAGATATCTGATCGCCTCATATCAGCACCAATAAATTCCTAGTTGGACATCACAGTTGATATTCTGACAATAGACATCAGCAGCCCTTGACTACATACGTCAAATAAACCTTGACACAAGCCTTTACCAGGATTAAAATGGTGTGTAATGTGGAAGGGAGACTCATACGTGAGATAAATCATACATCAGGCACCGGGATTTCACAGAACTTTTTAAAACATGTGCTAAGCCACATGACCTTCGGTGGGCAGGGCTGCCTGGGAAATTACCAATGTTATTGGGTGGTACAGCATAAACAAACACTCAGAAAAATCACGAAAGAAAATAAACAAAAGGCCAAACATATTTAGAACAAACCCCCGTCTATCATCGTTTTCCTGAAAAAAACCCTGTGAATACATGTCTAAGTATCTTGCATTCTGCAAATCGGCACAAATGCTGGCTTTATGGAGCAGGCCTATCACTGTTTGTGGACTGACTTGCATATTGGTCTCTGCATTTTTGAGAAACAAGGCCCTTCCTCATGCATGGTCAAGTTAAAAATATAAAATCCATGTCTATGCAAAACATTTACTAGATTCCGAGCCAGAAAATGGTCTTGTCAAACCAAAACCACTGTAGAAAAATGGTCGTACGATCAACTTCCTCATTGAAAAATGAGTCAAATATATCACTTCCAAACAAGTGCACTATTCAAGTTTGTAAAAGTTGTCTTGGCAATTTATTTAATAATTAACTTGAGGAGGTGGGTGACTCAGAGTTCGGAGAGCTGAAATGGCACTGCTGAGAATATGGGATCAAATTGAGACATCCGCCTGTGATTAAATCGAGTTCTCAAGTATAGCAAGTTGAAGGTCTCAGCCTGATCACCGATTACTGCACAAGAAACCATATGAATACATCTAGTTTTGAACTTAACTGGCCAAATTCCAGTTCTCAGAATTAAACGTACTTTTTTATTGTCAAGTGACCAACATTATTTTGCTACTCCCTGGTTTAGTAAAACAAACGTTAACTAGAGGAGATAGTGCCTTTAGTATTCAACGTACAGTTGATTGATTTCAAGTGTGACCAGCTTTCATGTTTGAACCACTAACATGTTGCACAAGCTCCTGGCACCTCTCCATGCCTGTTACGTTCCCAACTAAAAATTGCTCCACTATGTGAATCATATCCAAACCCTGTTATCGCACGCAACACATCCTTCACAAAATGCAGAAATTAAGCTTCACAATGTCAAAACGCTTATCTTCTGGGCACGACGACTGTGAATAACAATTACTTTTTTGTCCAGTAATCACCATTCAATCGCACATTTTAAAGGAAGGAATCTCTTTCAATAACAAATATGGAGAAACCCAAGACTAGGTATATACATATAAACTACTGAATTGGCACATATAATTTTAGCCGACAGTTACAGTATTGACAAGGCGTTATTCGAAATCTTCCTCGCAATTCCAAGCTACATTAGCAGTGTACTCGCTGGGGCTTTTAACATAAACATTATGTTTCAGTTGCCCCACATGCTGATGAGGCAGTTCAAACGGCCCGGCTCAAGATGTCTATGCTGTGGGGATTATCAGGGATCATCTCTGGATTGTCCGCAAGATAAAAACAACAAACACGTAAACAAACCACTTCCTTGCATTGCACATTTTAACAACACCAACCGATCAAGCGCCCCTCTCCCGCAACCCACCCAACAATTTCCACTCGAGTCTTCCAAATAAACTACGGTACACTAGAAAATCTAACTTCAATTTGTACCCCATGACAGTCAGACACCGTAGGGACTGCTCGGCGGCATGTGATGTGATGTGATATACGGTCATATTTAATATACTGTACATCTCCAGTTCCCCAATGCCCCTATGTATCTCCCATTTATATCACCCCGAATACTCCCACACAAGCGAAGACAAGCACAGAAATGGCAGTCGGGTGAGCAGAACCACAACTCTCAGTTGGGAGTGGAGGAAATCTGAATGTTTTTTTTTCTTTCCACCACCCACTAAACTCACATGGCCCTTGTAGATTCACGGCAGCCTTATCAGCAAGCCGGCTGCATGGCTGGGCCGGCGGGCTGCCTGGCTGGCCAGGAGGCTGCTTTGGCTATTTAATTGAGCAAACGACAAGCCAACTCACGCATTCACTCGGAAGCCGTCTGGTAGACCATCGGCCTGACTGGCTGGATGAGTGACTGTATAATCAAGTTACTTGTTGGATGACTGACTGGGTGAGTCCATGTCAAGCTGAATGTTTCAAGAGTAGAACCTAGCCGCCTGGGTATGTGAAAATCACTGTTGTGCGAGTCAGTGCCAAGCTGGATGTCTGACTGGTCGGCCAACTCGATGACTGTCTGGGTGAGCTACTGGGTAGATGATGTTACTGGCTGAATGTCTGGGTGGGTGGGTGACTGATAAGCAATATTGTTGAATGGCAGACCATCTATCCGGTATGCTGACCGACACCCAGTCTGGCTGGGTGTTGCAAGACGCCCACCTACTTACGAATCGCGTTGGCCGTCTAGGCAGCTCGCCTGACCCACTGCCCGACGACTTTCACAATTCGCGTGACCGAATGACCGACTCAACACCCGGCTGAGCGGGGCCCGTTATGATCGCCAGCACCACATCCACCAGAGCCACTACAACCTCCAAACACATCCATCAGCAGCACAATCACTACCACCAACAACCAATATCCACCATCAACAACACCACCAACAACAACCACCACCACCACCACCGACGACGACATCCATCATCAACCACAACCATAAACCTTCACCGTGGCCTCCGCATCCTCGCCCCATAGCGCTTGGAGCGAGTGTGTGGGGAAATTACAAAAAAATACAAAACAACAACACGATTCGCGCAACGGCGGCAAAGAGAAGGGGCAGGCCATGCGTCTGGAGAGAAACGTCGGCGAGAAAACGAGGGAGAAACTTACGGCGAAAGACGAGAAGCTGCGAGGCGGTGCGTGACGCTGCGAGCTCCCCTCAAGTCTCTGCGCGCCGCTGTCTCCCCTCAGTCTCTCGCGCGGGGGGCGGGGGACCCAAGGGGCGGGGCTCGACAGAGGGGGCGGGGCTTGACAACGGAGGGGGCGGGGCTTAACAAAGAAGGGGCGGGCCCATTGAGCGCGAGAGGCGGGGCATTGGTGGCGGCGGTGGCAGGGGGGGGGTCACGGTGGTTGTAGGGGGGGGGGGACTCGGCCCCCTCCCCCCAAGGGGCGGGGCTCGCGGGGGGAGTCGCCGGCCCTAGGCTGTGACGTCATTGCGTGGGCGGAGAGAACCCCGGCTCCGCCAATCGTGTAAGGCGACGAGGAAGGTGACGTCACGAGGGGGCCCACGTGCAGCCGTGGACGTGGTGGATGTTGCGTTGATGTAAAATGCACCGGGCTGTTTAAATAGAGTCGATTGGACGGCTGTGAAGAAGTACTTTAGAGCTCGTGGGATTCCTCCAGTTTAAGTAAATATGCTGACGCTGACTTTGCTGTGCTGCAGTAAACGTATGGAGTAATATACGCGCGGTAGCGAATACATTACGAAAAGGTCGCACGCATTACACACAAAGTGATGGCCACAGTTCAACCGCAATTCCTCGCTGATGTCGTCAAGGAGCAATACATCATCGTGCGAACCCCGATCATTCGATTTTTTGGTTGGCCATCGAACAAAGACGATCACCGCATCTCGCGTTTTCAGATGCGCTTCTGCGGCCGTCTGGAACGCTCTTCCGATATTAGGAAGCCACTGGGGCTATGCACTTTCAAATCTAGATAAAAAAACGAATTTCCCTAGAATAGTTTTTTTGTGTTTAGTTTGTTGTCCTTCCCTCGCACCTCCAATTACTACGGTTGGCTATGTACGGTGCGAAAGAAGTTAAACATACGAAAGAATAGTACATTCGGGAATCCACGTGTTTACAGCTCAGTATTCATACATGTAGCCTATATGTACTCTCATTTACAGTGCAGTATACAATGTAGTTAACATATGTAGTCTATAGTCGAAATGTAGTCTATTTTGTGTCATTGTGCAAATGTACGGTATTTGATAGATTTATTTTGGGACTGGATATTTTACTGGAATAGCAATATGCTGTAAGAACCATACGCAATCACGTTTGTAATTGGGTTTACGTCAGCAGGGTCTCGCAGGGTCAGCGACCCGGAAAATATCTCACCACATCCACGACTGCATAGCCCTCGATATGGCTGTGGCTACTAATCACGTGCCACCAACTCCTGTAGACCCAGCGGAGCCGGAAACTATTCAACAACATATTCAACTCCTCGTGTAACCAGCACTGTATGTGCCAACAGCACTGCGCTCTTGACTGCAGGTTACCATTTCAGAATCAAAAGATGTATTTATACCGGAGGAATCCGATGAGCTATTAAGCTCTTTTTCACAGATGTCCAGTAAAATCCGCGCGACCACGGGGAGTTCATCCAAACTCCAAATATATATAGGCGATAGTCATCGTCGGGATCGAAGCCACGGCCCCCTGTATACCAGGCGAGGGAGTTAACATCTCACCACCGCAGTACCCTTGGCATCTGCGTGTATCATCACTATTACAGATCATGTACATCACCAGTGACGTCATGGGCTTTGCACCCTCTGTGAGCATTAAGCCGTGAGTCATTTGCTTTTTTTAGTTTTACTGAGATGCCAATATCACGTGTGATGAATGCCTACGTCCAGTTAAGGGGGTCCCTGTAATTAAACCACGCACCGCACTCACATTATAAACCCCATAACAGTACGGCGTGATTGCACCCAGTTTTGTAGAACTCTCAAACCCCCTGGGTTCCAAGGTGGACAGAAGATTTTGCCAAGGCAGTTATGTTCATCAACCCGTCTGTAGGCACATTTGGGTGTTTTCTCCCCGTCTGTGTGGTGGGTTGCCTCCAGTTACTATGCCTACACGCTACCCTGGACACTGACAAACGAGATGTTCTACCCCACGGCGTTATCCAGGTGACATTTTCTGATAAATAATAAAAATGCAAACACTCCTTCAAAAGGTAAATAGCCCCAACACAGAACCCTCGTGAAAAAGTGCGTCTCAATGAGGCCTTCTTGTATAAAGAATCAAATTAAAGTGTCATTATTTACATACCATACTGTAAGCGTGCCTGTTATATAAAAAACAATGGTTATTCTCTTTAATGTGCCATTCGGTTTGCGTTTGAAAATCCGCCCACTACATCGGGTAACATCCACACGAATGTATATTTCAATACATTTGGTGAAAATCTCCTCTACGTGTGTGTATACAGTGATAGCCCGGTTTACGTCGGAGATGCGTCCCTGAAGGGACGTGACTGGCATCGAAACGACGTAAATGAAAGCAATGTACAGGGTAGGTGGAGGCAAAGGCTGAGGCCAAGGATACGAGAAAGGACGAGGGCTGTCCGCAACGTAAGTGTGGTTTGAGCCGACGCAAACCAGCTAGTGGTGTTCATAAAGTGACGACGCAAAATTTCGATTTAAAGCTTTCGTGACTGCAGGGATTCATCTTCTTTGCTCTTTCGGTAAAGTCACGTAGAAGGGAAATAATAAAATAAAACAAATTTAACATAATAAAATAATTCTCATGACGTTTCGGTCACAACGCAAGCAGCCGTCACCTGAGGACGGCTGCTTCACCTGAGGACGGCTGCTTGCGTTGTGGCCGAAACGTCGTGAGAATTATTTTATTATGTTTTATTTGTATTATTTTATTATTCCCCTTCTACGTGACTTTACCGAAAGAACCAAGAAGAAGTGACAACGTATTTGCGAAACGACGTTGAAGTAGGAGACGTAATGTGGAATATATATACTGTACAGTGTTGGCTTGGGGATTATTTGACTACCTGAGCACACTGAGTCAGTGCCCTTGGATCACAGCGTGCATGTGGAGGCCTTCATCCAGCAGTGGATTGACAACGGGCGGTACGCGTGCATGAAAGACTTGCCTCTGGCATGTGCAGCCAGCGGCAAGTGCCGTGGCGGGTAGAGGGTCATAAAGGGCCTCCTGCGGAGAGGCCGATTGGCTTGCAGATGCGAAAGGTTCTTTGACATTTTCCCAGTAACAGTGCGCCACTGTCTACTGCTGTCACCACCAAATTAACTACCCACAGCCCTGCAGTGCATCAGTCGCTAAACCGTCTTGTGGACAAGTGGTCACTTAAAATTAGCACTTTTCCGAATTACCAAGCACTCAATGACTTGGATTAGAACGTAATAAAGTGCGGAATGCCGTTCGCGGTTGTCTCAACTGCTGTACGCGTATAAATTATTACTGCAGCGGCCTATTATTCACACATCTGCCAGATTACTCGAGTACCCTTGGCAGATATACCCACATTTGGGGTCATGTAGGCTGATTAATTTCACAATTTGTATTGTTGGGGGAGGAGGGAGAGAGAGATACGGTTGGGCGCGCTGCCAACCGGACAGACTCTTTCGGAGCGTGGCTCGCTCCAGGGAGCCTCTTTGTGCGGGGAAGACAAAGACGAGCGCGCGGGAGCGGTCACGTGCACAAGGACAGCGCGTGGCCCTCCAGGGGGCTCGCACAAAGACGCGACTGTGCGTCGCGACAGAGATACGCGGGGGACACGTGAGCAGTGGGGGGGGGGGGGGGAGTAGAGGGGGGGGCACCGAGCGAGGATGACGAACACGCGTGGCGGAGGGAGCTACCGGGAAGTGTCGGGGTCACGGGGGGGGGGGGGGCGCGTAGAGGCTCTCGGAAGAGGATTGAATGGGGGGCTTCTCGAACCTTGACTGCGCCTTCCGCTGCAATCGGCCCTCGCTCGTTACCGTATAGGGGAATTAAATTTGCGGTATTTCCTGAAGTCGAATCCGTCTGCGTGATGAGTCAAATTACGCAATCTAATTCTCTATCTGGACGGAAAAATAAATATATATTTCAGTCGTTCTGCCAATTGGACTTCCAGACTCATGTTAACCCGTTTGTATTTAAACACACAAACTCTGAACATGTTTGAGCCCTTCTTGGGTTCATCAGCAGAGTCGAGGATACCAAATACGTACCATGTGTTATTGGAAAGCGTCCTCTAGTCTACCCCGTGGGCTGGCAGTAGTCGGTGATATGTTTAAATAGAGCACCGATATGTTTCAAATAGAGCTTTGTGTTTGTACACCTTTATTTGCGTGTAAGTTCACGCAAAATTTAATTCACCAGAGCATAAGTCCTCCTGTGATGCCGTAAATGTGAAGAGTTCCCGAACGTTAAAACCATAAACCCACATTTTCCTCGCGCTTGTCCTCCCCGAAGTCCACGCACATCTCCCCACGGGCCCCCTCTCCTGCCCGCAGCAGCGCTGCCATGAGGGTGACCCGTGACGATAATGTGCCTCACGGAGAACTGCATCCGAGGTTTCAATTTAATAATGCACTCGGCGATCGTAACCATGTCGGAGCAAAGGTAGCATCTCAATTAAAGTAACCACATTTTTTTTGTTAATGCGGCACGCGGCGGAAAAATGATGTTAAGTGGACCGACGCCGATATAAGTGGTCACCCGAAGCAATAGGCACATACGTTAGCGGCGATGAAAGTCCACAATGTGTTACATTTTCGCCACGCTCCAAGTTTAACGAGGAACACATCGAACACCCCCGTCGGTGGCGTGGAACGTACCAATGGTGGCCCATTAAATGAACCCCTTCTGACTCCAGCTCAGCGGGGGGGGGGGGGGGAGAGCATCAGGCTGAAGTGCTGACGGTCTCACATCAGCGGCTTCGCTGCGCATGGCCGCGTGCGTGCGCGGCCTTGCTGACTGAGTGCCTGATTAATTGGTTGTCCATCGAATGCACCAGCTCAGCAGAGATGTCCATTGTTAGCCGTTCAAAGCCACCGCACATTCTCTGGGTCTAAAACATCGTGTTCATACTTACCGGTGACCTTCTGGTGGTGCGAGCATCCACCCTCACCGTTGTTTTTGGGTTTCATTGGTGGTACCCACCGATCTTGGCACGGACGTCGTCCTTGCTGCCTTTGGGCCACTTGCAATAATTGACTGTC